CATAAACATGCTCTTTCTGTACAATACATATCCTTAGGTCTTTTCCCTGGTTAGGAGGACAAGGTTCTGCAGTGAGATTTCAAATATATATAAAGGACATGTACCACTAAACAAAATAGGCCACAGACCATGGTCTGTCACTGAGGCCAACTGGCATGTGCAGCTGATATCCCCCTAAATAAATACTCTTACTCCCTAAACAGGGGTCTATATCTAAACTACCTATGAGATAATAGCCCTTAGTACACATGCTAACCCCTGAACCATGCTCCATCTGGGACACTGCTAAGAATTGAACTGGCAATTTAGCAGTATGGAAACAAAATCTAGTAAATGCATGGGCCTGTGCCTTGGCCCTATTTTGCTTATTCTTGTAGGTGACCATCGCATGGCTTTTCTCTGCTCCGGCATTATTTTCAGTTAGAGAAAAGGAGTAGTCAAAAAGCTACTTTGCAGCTTGCCCATGTGCCTTTTTACTACTGAAGATGTTATATGTGGATAGCAGAGTGGGGCACAGAACACAAATAAGAGAATGCGTGTAAAATCTCCTGACACAGCATTGCAAAGGCTGTATCTGGTAGAGGGAACAAAATTGGCACAGTTCATTTCTGCACTACTGGTGTGGTGAGACACTACTATGTACCTTTACACTATCTTCTGCCCCATACCCAGATTTCCTTGTCAAGGGACGTGTCTGGTCTGATCCAGACTGGAGTTTAAGAAGGAAGCAACGTGTTTACAGGAATAAGGGCTTTAGGCAACTCAGAGTGAGTCAATTTGGTAATGTTGTAGATATCATCTGCCCTAATACTGGCAGGTACAGTACCGCTTATTACAATTTGAAAACTTATCTGAAATTCTATTAAGTCACACAATGATGAAATGGTGAGTTCAGTTCAGAATAGCCTGTGCAGAATAAATGTATACCTTAGCTTATACTTCATGCATTTCCTTTTGTATGTAAGTTCTTGCTTTCACTATAAATGTAAAAGTCTCATTTTAAAACAGGTCTTTTAAAGAAGGGAAATTCTTTTATTAAAATAAAAATAGTACTTATAAGCACTAAAAGCTCTCAAAGAGTAGAGAACATGGGATACATGCACATGGGGTCTATTAATAAACAACATTTGACTCAGTTTTCCCCATGTATTTAATTTCCTGTGCTAAGATTAGATTTTTATATACTGATGATGACAGCTGTGCCTAGTTTTCACTAAACTCAGTGGAAATCCATCACTCAGAAGCTTTAAAATGGTTTACTCCTGTAGTTCATATGTGTGAAGAATACTTGAATAAAGCCATTTCCCTCATGTAAAATCCAGTTAAAATCTTAATGTGAATCATCGCTTACTATCAGAAATAATTATTAAAATACGCTAAAACAAATAAACCTTTTCATGCCGTAAACTTATCTGAAAGTAAAAATAATCAGAGAATTCAGTGATGGATGATTTGGAAAGATTAAATTGTAATTTTTCATGACCTTAAATCTAAAAATCTTGGATAAATAAGTTTAAGATCATATAGCTTCAGATTTTTTGATCCTGTCTGAGAACGAAGAACATAAACAGTCTTATTTTAACTGTTGGAAATTAATTTTAAATGGTGTCTAAGGAACTGATATTTGAAAATTGTAAATAAATATACTGCTGACAAAAGCATTTTATTTCTGGCGAGATTTCCAAAATCTTTCTCTAGTGAAACAGAAGAATTGAAAGGAAAAACTGATAATGCCCTATAGTAGATATACTCTTAACTTTATCATAGTAAAGACAATGATGCATCTTCTACACAAACCAATATTTCAGTTGAAATGAAAATGGGTTAACTTACATCTGGAAGTGTTAAATTCATCCATGCATCAGGAAGGAAATTTGTTCCAAGATTCAAATTAATCAAGTCAATAAAAATGTCAATAAATACTTTCTTTTGTATAAAACCTAATAAAAGAAAGTCACTATATTAAAAAAATGTATTTACAATTTCAAATAAGACTTCTTTTGTTAAAGGAGATCTATTTTTTTATTTTTATGGCCTATGGGAAAATTATTCATTTTGCTATTATGTACTATTAGTGTAATAACTTTCAAGCCAAACAAAATTTTCTCATTTAAAATAAATCATGTGTGGCTTGTATAATAGCAAAATGTCAAATATTCCAATACACTGCAATTCCTCTGATACTTGACCTGGTCTGCATTGTGATCACTAACCTATCCTCAGAATTTACACTGACAGCTAATGAGCAGTTCACAAACACCAATCACACACATATTCTATGTATTGAATACCTACCAACATTTTCTTTCACAGTGCTCTATTTTAATCAATACTAAATCTATCTCTACTCTTGAAAGCAAGCATGTGTTAGAATGGAAAATACAGACCATTGTCATTAAACTTCAAAACAAAACTGAATTGCTTAAAGAGCTTCTCAGAATTTGGTGTAGGAGTTATAAATAGCTCAGTTAATTTTATTTTAAAGAAACCACAAGGTAAAAATAAGTGCAACAAAACCAATCTGGTTTTTTAAAATAGGCATGGATTTGCTTATAAGCAAATAGAAACTTCAAACTTCATGCATAGTATTAAAACACAAAAGTATGTATACCAAAATTTAACAGATATGAGTTTTTCCTTTCAGAAATGGACTTTGCTGGCTCAGTGAGGATTCACTGTGAAAACCTTGCAGTAACAACAAAAATTGTAAAATAAGTTTCAAATTATCTAAATTTTGAGAGCCAAAGCTGATTTTGTCAGGTTATGATCACTTCCATAGCATCAAAACACTTAGTTTTCAGATTACCTTTAAAAGCAAACACAATCAGTGAAATACTGGAAGGACTGACTTACTTTTTTTCCTTTTTACAGCCAAACTTCTTGACCTTTTGAAAAGTCACAGCTGTTCACATTCGGTGGCTAAAAAACTTTTTCTTTGAAGTGGAACTATTAAGTGAAATTTGTTAAGTTTATGAAGAAAGTTTTAAGTGATAGGAATATTAAGAATGTGTTTGAATATTAATTTCATAATGTCACTATTCAAAATCAAGTTGTCAGTTTGAAATAGTAGTCTACAATATCTGTAGACCTGTTTGCCACCAATCAGGAAAACCAGTAGAAATTACTTCAGTACATCTTAATACAGCAGAGAAATCCTATACATATATAAGCTTGGAGAGAAAAGGTTAAAAATAGATTTCGGGCGTTTATAGTCTGTTAGACCAGGCAGAAGGGAGAAACACCTGGACTTGTAGCCTTATGTCCTACCATAAATTTCAGCACAAAAGCAAAAGTTGGGAAAAAATACTGACAGACTGAGAACAGAGCTCTGAAGTCAGCTCTCGAAGGCTGAGTTACCTACTTTAAGAACATATTTTTAGAATCATGTGAGTTAGGCTGCTTACTGAAGCATCTTGGATTGTTGATTTAATAATTTTAAAGTAACCAGAAACTTCTATTTTGACAAAAACTTCAAGACACAAGAAGGAGATTATTTCCATACGGCACAATAAAGCCTACATCACAAAAGTATCATTATTGGGAGACTTCATAGAAGATTCAATAAACCAGGTAACTTTTTAGTAGTTCATGGGGAGAATGGGCTATGGTCCACTAAGGAGACAGTGAAGACTTTATATTACAGGAAAAAATTTTACAACTTATTTGCAGTCTCAAATTGTCTAAGTGCTTTACCATGAAAAGCCCAGCTATCATAATTTTTACTTCATGTTTTACTAAACATTTCCCCTTCCACATCTGATCCCTAGAACTCTGGCAATCTAACTTCTTTCTCTCGCATTATCTTATGTTTTAAACTGTTCAATTCCTACTATGATTTCCCTATATGGCAATAAAATATGCTGTTTCTGTATTTCCTATGAGTCTCTGGCTTCCTAAATTGAAAATGAATTTTGTTTTTTGCACGATATTCTAAAAGGATACTCATACCTTGTCACTTTTTGTGTGGTGATATGACTTCAGAAACATACTTTAAAATATTTCAGGGGCAAGGAAATTAAAGAACTTGAATCAAGACATAATGTCTAAAATGGGATTAAAGGATTGGCATCTAAAATGTTAATCACAATTTATAGAACTTTGATTGAATTATAGAACATGTTAGAACATAGTTTTCAGGTAATTTGGTATGTGTTGATGTAAGCCTATGGCAAACATGAATCATTGTGAGACATCTAAGCACTGTCAAGTGATATGCAGTGTCTACCCACATTTTTTCCTCTGTAGTAGAAGTGAAGAAACAACCCTCTCTTTCATTCAGGGCTAAGCTACTTTCTGCCTATTAATTACAGGTTTGTTGATGTGCTGTAGGGTAATTTCTTTTACTTTACTGCCTCCTCCTGAAACATCTGATGTGGGACAATTCCAAAGTGTCTTCAGAGAGTTGTAATAGTTCAAAAACTTCAAATGGAGTGTGAGCTAATTCCTCCTTATAACATACCTATGATGAATGACGGAGTCTCAGAGAGAAATAGGAAATTCCTCATAAGCATATAGAAAAGATATGAAATAACTTTCTCCACTGTATTTTTAGATATTTTGTCTAGATCTATATGTTTCTATAATATAGAGCATGGAGCTAGTTTTGAATATCTGATTAAATTACAGGACAAAAGGTGATTCATCAATTTAATTGAGGGGCTGCCAATGCTTTATAATCATGGAGAGATGCTATGAGTGAGCAGCTACACAGATGGTGCTGAGAAAAGGATACTGGTGTCTGCAAATGGTACTCTGCAGGTGGTAAAAGGAAATAACATCCTCTGGGAAAGAATGGGAAAACAATTTCCAAGATCAGCTTCGTCCACCTAACAAGACTGGTTGGTTGCAAAACAGGTATGCTTTTCACAAAATCTTTTTGTTAAGCTCCCCCCCACACCCCCCCAAAAAAATTTTTTGTTGAATGATGTAGGAGACTGAATACAAAATTAATTTATTAAATGTGTTGAAACACTTTTAATTAGAAGGGATAACAAGCATTTTGGAAAAAGAATCAGAATTCAAAAAGATGTTGAAAAAATGGTGAGATAGTAAAGGTGAGTAAATAAATTTCACTGGAAACAGAACAAAGTACTTTGAAGAAACAGACTGCACAAATCAATACACATTACATTGCAGATAAAACCAGTCAGGAAAGAAAACTTCAAGCACATTAGAGAACAGGATTAGAATTCAAAGTGAACTTTACAAATTGGAGATATAGTCTAGGATAAAAAGCACACTATCCAATAAGAATGAATGCCAAGTGCCACATTGGGCTGAAATAATGAACCGCATAAATGTCACAATGGAAATCTTACTGCCAAAGTAAAATCTCTGTAGAAAGGCTCTAGGGATTATGGTAGATTACAGTATCACCAGAAAGTACATGGGAAGACCCTGGAAATAATCTTTGCATTCTTTTCAGCTGTATGGCTTCTGCTGGCATACAGTTTTGGAATCTGCAGATCTAGAAGGATGTATAGAAACTAAAGAGTGCCCAGAAGAAAGCAGAAAGAATCATCACAGGCTTAGAAAGCAGACTGAGCAAGGCTGACGGAATTCTGCTAGTTTCATCTACAAAAGGAAGATTATGAAAAAACATAGCAGTAGTTTTCCAGTTAAAACCAAATATTACAAAGAGGATAAGGAAACCTCCCTCTCCATAACTGCAGTGAGGAAGAATGATAGGAAATAAAATTTGTTTGCAGCAAAAATATTTCAGATAGTATTAAAAAGCCATATAAACAGAAGGACACCAAAGCACTAAAGAAAGCAAAGCACACATTCTACAGTGGATTATTTTAAAAGCTTATAAAAAAATAATGAGGGGCAAACATTGGATAGATTTTCTGAATTTAAATTTGATCCCACTTTTAGACATGGATGGCTTCTTGATATCCCCTTCCAACTACTTGTTATGATATCAAGATTTTCTTTGTATTTTTCCAAGGGCAATGTATCCATTATCTTCAGTCCTAATACTAAAAATGTGATGCTGCCCCCTTGGATCATGGAAGTTACTTCAGTGTTACAGATTCTAAATATACTTCTCTTCATTACTTTTGTTTTTGTCTTCTGCTGTTATACATTCTGGAGACACATTTTCAAACTTTTTCTAACCTCACCATAGTTAAAATATTCCCATTTGGAAACTTTGAGGGGAAAACCCCAGTATTATGTGACATAAGAGAAAATCCTTAGAATTAGCAATGCCACATATCTAATAAGGTATCCTGTATGATATATATCCTGTTGCTTATTAGGTTAAGTATAAAACATTTTTGTTATCTGAGAAATCACAAGTGAAGATATTTCAATGATGAATCTTTTATAATCAACCACATAATGCACAGTACGGATCTCTTTTTCTGACCCTTACAGATTAACTCTACTTGAGTGGACTAACATCCTTTAATAAGACATGCATTCAAAACTTACTCTCTTTCAGACACACTATTTAAACCTAGAAGTGGCATGAATATATATGCAAGACACACAAAAAAAGACCATGAACATGTGTATCTATGTAAAGAGTATTTATTCTGCAATTACTAGACATTTTTTATATTGAAAGTAGAGAGTTGATCTTGATATGGAAAAGGATTGATTTAAAGATGAATGACCTCACATTCATTTCTCCCAAATTAATTCTAGTTCATCTTCACCACTGTTATAAGAACTAAGCAGGGTCATCAGTGATTTCACTTTAGCTATCTTTTGATATAAATCATTGCTTTTTCATTGATTGTAGAAATATGTTCTGCTGGTATGCTTTACCTTGATTTGAAATTATCAAGTGTAAAGTTGCATTTAGAACATGTAGAATTATGAAATTATGAAATCAGATACTTCTCCAAACAATTCTCATTCTTAGATCCTGGATTAAAAATCAAGATACAGAATTCTTATTGCAACCCTCACAAACATTTTTACAGGGAAAAATGTCATTCAAACTGTGAAGTATATTAGTCATATCCTGGCTGTAGGAGCATTTGCTATGGGAAGACTGATTTATAGATCTGTTCTGTCTCTGTAGGAAAGTCTTCTGAAAGACAAGACTGACAAAAATCTGTGAAAAGTCATGTTAAACCTTACCCACAAGACAATAAAAAACAGAAACATGTACAGATATGGAGGGAAGGTATGACCCAAAATTCATAGGCTACAGAGGTCAAGCAGTCATTTGACAGAAATAATGCACTGATTTTCCACACATTTATCAAAAGAAAATCCAGGTTTTCAAAATCAGTGAAGCTTCTTGAACCATTAAAGACTGATAGTGAGATGACAGTTAACTCCAGGTGTTATGATGTATTATGACTCAGCTAAATGCAAGAATCAGATTGAAGTTGAGACATCCCTCTGTCCACATGTTACCAAGGTAACAATGTATTCTTATTTTTGTTCATTGTCTTCAGATTTATAGAAGTTAGGTATAGAAGGGCAAATGTAAACACTTACAGGTGACTCAGCAGTGAACATAAAAGCCATATTTTAACATTATAATACACTATGAAAAAAATATAAATATTACAATCATTAACCCTGCAAGGTAGGTGTTCTGTTAAAGTGTCCATGTATGTTACATGAAATTTGTAAAATAAAACCTAACAATTTTCATCTAGTCACTTCCAGAGAGACTCTGTAAATCAAATTTAGAGCAGTAATCTGGTCTTTCATTTGTCATCATATCATCTCCCTGAAGTCTTCTATTTCTCTTACAAGTAGAATTCCACAAATTAATAGCTTTCTGGGGGTCAAATTTTTTGATATCTGGAGAGTTCATCTGAATTATCATAAGATCCGTCACAATTTCAGACCTTAGTTTAGAGTGCAAATGCATCATGGTGAGTTTCATTTGACTGAAGCCTCGTTCTGTTTCAGCTGAGCTTGCTGGCAGAGTTAGGATCAAATCTACCAATGTCAGGATGTTGGGATACTTCCTTGAATAAACTGAGTTCACTGAATCCCATGTTAAGGTCCGGACGTTCTGAAATCTAAAAAGCATGGTAAGAAGTATAATTATAACTATCAACAAATGTATTTCCATAATCCTTTTGAATAAATCAATACACAGAAACAAATGCAGTTTTCTTATTACCTGTTATAGAGTTCTAATTTCAACATGCTCCATTCAGTTTCTACTTCACCTACTTTCACACTAGCAGCTTCTAGTATGACTTCATAATGTTTAGTCAAGACAGACACTTCCTTTTCACCAAATTCTACAACAGAGGCAAACCAAAAATATTTTTATGGTTTTAAAGAATATAGAAGGTGAACTTCAAATAGCTATTATCAAGTTCTATACCTTGTTTCATTTGGTTAGGCCATAGCTTAAAACTTCCAATAGTAGTTGCTCTCAAAACATCTTGACTTGCATCGCAAAAACAATCATGAAGCCTGTTCACCAAATTACTTAATACTTTGGCTCGTACTGCTGAAATATTTCCATTTCCAACAAGCTCGTAACCATGAAAGTGCTGAATGGTCTCAATCAGGCGTTCCTTTGGACCAGCTCTGGAAGATATTGAATACAAAACAATATGTAATACTATTTTATTATATTCTAATAAGATCATGGTTCATTTGTTAGAAATGCCACACCTTGTTTGATACATGTGAAGTGTTTCCAGTGTTGACTGCACAGTTGCAAATATGTCTGCAATGGAGGAGCTGTGATCCAAAGTAACATGTGACAGAATGTTGAGGACATTGATGACATCCAACAAGAAGTGAGAAAACTTGACTATCTCCATTCTCAGAAGGAGGTGTAAAAGGCCTTTGACTTTCTGCTGGTTTGAGGCTCTTGAATCTCTTTCAATCTGGAAATCAACATAGAAAAAGAAAGCATTGGGTATGTGGACCAGAATTAGCCACAGCAATTAATTTTTCCTGAAGTTACACCCAAATTTTAAATCATTTACCTTGGTCAGATGTAGAACAATTGCAGGATAACCTTTAAGAAGAATTTGTAGAGCTGTTTGTAGACGAGGAAGCCACTGGGAGCCTCCAATGCGAGAAGGAATAGCTGGTCGCAACTTAATGGCTTCATATGTGGCTTTGAGATCATCCTTATTTAGAGGTGAGTTATGATAAAAGTAATACATATTTCTCAAGGCATTGCTTAAGATGTTGTATAGCTGAATATTTTTCAGTGCTCCTTTGTAAGCCAGCTTTAGGCGGTGAGCAAAACAATGCACAGACTGTACACAAGGCTGAATTTCCCTCAGAAGTTTAGCTACCCCACTGTTTTCTCCTACCATGACAGCTGTTCCATCACTCCCAAACCCAACTAATTTTCTTGACCAATCTTGGCTTGTCAGACTAAGCTGAAGATTTATTTGTAATGTTTCCTCAATTGCATTTTTCATACTTGAAGCATCAGTTCTGTGAACAGGTTGAACCCCAACAATCTGGCAATGGACTTTTCCTTCATTTGCAAAGCATACATAGACAACTGCAGCTGTTTTGAGTATACTGTCTGTAAATCCATCACTAATAACAGAAAAGAATTTACACTTCTCCAGCTTCTCTTTCAAAGCTCTTCTTTCTACATCTGCAATAAAATGTATAAACATTCTTGCTGACTTGTCATTTCTAAATACAGAACCAATATCCACTCCTTTCATATCATCTAGTTTGCACATCCAGTCAAGGTCTGTAAAGGGACGACCAGATTTAGCAATAGCATGGCATGTTCTAAAAATATTTTCTACTCTACCTAATGTTATGGAGTTCATGCTCTTCCATATCTGCTCAGCAGAACCTGTATCTGGTGAAGCACTACTGGCAGCTTCCATACAGGTAGCCCAGGCATGAGCTTCACTACTTTGGTGTGTATTTATAAATTCAAGTTTGAAATCATCAGTGCCAGAACAAAAATTATGAATGTTTTCCCCCAAATCCACATTATGCTTACGACATGGTGCACAAAACATTATTCCCCTTTCCTCATCGTATTTTAACCAGGAGTATTTTGTTAGCCATATTTTTGGAAACTGTCGATTCCTCTTTGTTCTCTGATGTTCCAAATCTTTCTTGTCTTTCTCTCTGTCACCACCTTCTCTCTTGCTAGAAGAATTACTCTTGCTTTTAAATTGCTTCAGTGCTCTTAGAGCTATAATTCAAAAAAAGAACAACTAGATACAAAATAGTTTTTATTTCATAAATTATCAGCTGTATTTTTTCTTTTTTCATCCACGTTTATTTTGTTAATTTGGGACTAGATTGTGACTTGAAATTAACAGTCATAAAATAGCAGAAGGAAAACTGAGATCTACTCTTGAATCAGTTAGAGGCTACCCAGAACTCTTCTAAGAAATGGTGTTTTGACTGCAGTTTTGACTAACAGAAGTTTGTCAGAATACACAACCAGTAAAGTGCAGCAGCATCAATACCATTTTTGAAACAGAATAAAACGGAGTTAGGGACAGGAATTCAGAATGGTCTTTCAGGCAAAATGTCTCCAGAGGACACTACAGAAGTCACAAACCTATTATGATGCCCACTACACCTGACATTAACAGAAAAGTTAACTTGGAGCAAATCCATAATTACATAAACAAATACCTGTCACAACGCATAAGATATTCTATGGCATATGTAGCTGACCTGATCTTCTTAAAATATATTTATCTGCAGAATTATTTTATTACTGCTTTGACAAAGAGAAACTGTATAAGCTTCATATTTTGCTCTCAAAATGGAAATACTTAAAGCATTGAGATTGTTCTCAATATTATTTTCCCAAATTGTTCTCAAGATGGTCATTCTTATACTTTGTAGGAGAAAATGCCATAAACTGGCATTTTTGAAAATTCTATGTCTAGAGCTCATGAATCTCCTACTTTTTGCAAGTAATTTAATTATTATTTTAGTACCCTGTCATCTTAACGTCATGACTTTGAAAAGCAAGCAACAAATAACGAAGACAAATTCCATGCAGAACTGAGGCAATAAAACTAGAAAGCTATTCACTGGGAAATACCACAAGTAAAGCACTGAGGAAATGACCTAAGAACAATCTGAATTCCCACCCTCCTTATTGTAATGGGTACGTCAAGAGGCAAAATTAATGACAATGTCTGGTCTTTTGAAAGGTCTTAAGAGTCCTTGTATTCCACTCTTTTCTATTTTATAAGAAGGGTTAGATTTTCATATATGCATTACACAATTTGTGAGAGCTGTTTGTTCCCACTGTCATAAAAATGATAGTTTGTCTGCTCCATTCTATTCTGAGCATCCTGAAAGGCCATAATATTAAAAAATGTTAGGAACATGCAGTTTAAATACATTTCCATTATGAGCCATTCTTTAAAGAACTTTAAATCTGAAGTAGTAGCTGTGGTCCACATGGACAGCAAAAACAACCAGACCACAGAAGATTTTTCTGACATGTGCCCAAGTACCATACCCAGGACTAAAAAGAGAGGAGAAGTATTCTTAACATACATTAAATATTAAAAACCTTCCCTAACATTAGGCAGCTACAAAACCACAATAAAATCTGAAATAGAGATGGGGAGCAGGATTAATGGATCTGCAACTGCAGAAGTCAGCAGGTGGAAGGGATAAAATCATTGTAACACTTCTATAGTGCCAACTGCTTCTTGAGGTGTATAGGTACCTGTAGAAATCTACTGTCTATTAGAAAAATGGGGATCAGGGTAGGTACTGTGAGCCACTGTCACGGATGAGATTCCCTGTAAGATGGACCTTCAATGCCACTAATATTTTTCAAGTTTTGAATCTTTTCATTTCAAAACACATGGGTTTAAACTCTTAGAAAAATATGTTTGGGACATCATGAGTTTATAAGTGATCAGTTGTATGTGTCTTTAGACAGACAGTATATCCTACAGCATGTGAGAACAGTAAAGACATATCTAAGATGTACGAATCATCAGATCATCTCTACAACCCATATAAATTATGATTATACTCATTACAAATCTTCCCTCTAGTATATTCTTACCATGTTTACTTAAGGAAATGAAGGTTATGCAGTTGTGTTCCCTATATATGTCTACATCAATTTGTCTGCCTGACAGTTCTCCTTCACTAATAATTTTAGAATGGCCAATTTGAACCAAGTTTGTCAGTATAATGTCTTTCAGATGTGTTCTGAGGTACAGGAGAAAGATCCTCATAACACCTCCACTGAGGAAAAAGGTGGTGAGTTGACCAGCTTTTATCCACTCTGTGCCCAAGAGGCATAAATCAGCCTAAACTTAGTTCCAGACCACACACAGCATCCCGTGCATCCTAGCCATAGCTGTACAAGCAAAACATATAGGTAAGATGGCATGAAAGACAATAGTTATTTTCAAACTAGGCTAACAGACATGGAAAGGAACAGGAGATGAACTAGCAGAAGGAAACTGGGAGTATGGGAAAAGGTGGAATTTGTTGCAATGGTATTATGGAAAGAACACAGGACGTAAAAGGAAGCAAGCCTATACTACTTATGAAGCAACCTCTTTTCACATAAAAGTCTGTCACCAATGAAATCAAAAGGAAAACTAATGTAGAAAAAACTACACAAGGTAGAATTGTTTTGCATTAAAATCTTTTTAAAAATATCATTCACTAATACACAAGATGACATTAACAATCATTTATATATGATTCAATAAGCAGTGCAGAAACATAATAAACAAATGCAAAGAATTAATTAGTGAAGAAATGAAGATTATGACCACAAGTGAAACTGAAAACAGAAGGATAAACATTCAAAAGGAGCATCAAGAACGACAGCAGCATAACTGTATACTAGATGCATACTCTGCAAACCAGGACTGTGAAATTTTAAAAGGACATAAGAAATAAAGAGCAATCACCATGCCTCAGTTATAAGGCACAGATACACAAAAGAGGCTATTTCTTAATGATACAACAGTCAGCAGAATATTTTCATACAGTGCCTGTATGATACTACACTGAGTTTCCCCCTAAATTGAGGAACTGTGGTAAAGATTCAGATTATAAATTTATACAGGCAACAAAATGAGATTGTAAACCTATACTAGAGGTAAGAATTATGTTAAGATTTTATTCCCTTTTCATTAAATTTTACCAAAACATTTTAACAGATTCCTATTCCCTCCATTTTCACTGAGAAAAACGTTTCCATAGTAATTTCTTACTAGAAGTTTGGATGATGATCTATGCAAGTTATGCACAAGAGTCTATAGCAATGCTATAAGGGATGAATGAGTGAAATAAGCCCTAAGGCTGAATTATATTCATCTAACTTCAGAAGTCTAAATCTAGTAATATGGGATACTTCTATCCTTTGAACAGACAGAAATATAAAAAATATGACTCATACTCTCCAAGATACTGAGATACTCATCACCCCTGAAGGTGATTTTCATTGTAAATATTTACTTCATTTATTAGTTTATTATTACTGATTCTGCTATGGTTTATGTCCAATCTTCACTAATTAGCAAGAATTGGTATTTTAAATTTGGAACCACAGATTAAGATACACCCGTTGCTGTACTGATGCAATGAGGGGAAAGGAGAGTTCCTCTGTTATGCTGACTGAAATCTTAAGACTTGGATATATACATACAAATGGACAGAAACATATACAAACATGTTAAATATGTTTCATGAAAGTAATTGGATATACAAATTTTTAAACACTATAGGCAAACAGATATACAGATTTCTGAATAACTTACATGATTTAGTAAGAACCATAACAGGAGGGGTAAGTGAAATTAAGTCAGAAGAATTACTAGATTTTCCATTATCTATAGGGAGAGGTATTGTATCTATTCTGGTTCTATGATTAAGGGTTTTATATCCCAAAAATTTAGGCATTTTCTACCTATATGATTTGTCTAGAAAAAGATACTTCCTCTGCCTACAAACTTAAGCTTTTCTATTTTCAAGTTTTGAAAAAAACACATTGAGAAGAAATATAGTCTTAAGAAAGTTAGAGATGATGAACTTATTTCTATGCTCACATATGGATTTCACTCTCTATTCACATCAAAGACAGATCATGAGGATTACTATTGTAAGCTCTTGAATTGTTTCTACAAAAGTGCTTGTGAAGAGAAAGCATAATCTATAAACATTATTTAGGGTCAGCATATAATTCTGACTGATCCACTCAACAAAATATTCTATTAAAAAGGTAAAATTTCATCTGAACTAGATGAACACTTTAATATGTCTATCTGTTTCAAATCTAGCAACACAGTAAAACTCAGATGACAAGTCTACAAATTAAAAAGAAATAGCAATACAATCTGGTCTTAGGCTGTCCTCTGTGCTTTACTGTTTCACATTTTAGCCAACTATTTTGTAGGTTTATAAATAAACCTTTTAAATGTTTTTTGGATATTGGATATAGAAGTTTTTTAAGCCTGATTGAATTTATTTCTGATGAGCAATGATTACTATAATTTAAACTGGAATGGTTCATGAAGGTCATGACTGTGAAAAAACTTATAAAATTTAAAATTCCCTTGTGCAATTCAGTCATAAGATAGAGAACAGAAGTCTGGGATAGCATCTATTTTGATCCGTTTGATAATGCAAAATATTACCAAAACTGCATTCTCTAAGCGCCTTTAGAAGAAAATTGAGACATTCCAGATGTGTGCTAATTGAATTGGCAAAACATATGGTCATAGGAGGAATATAGTGCTAAAGGGAATCAAAACGGACGAGACCTAATAGATGGTTAGTTTAATTTTGTTGATAAGAACAGAACACATCCAAAGAGACTGTAGAAGAGAAAAGAAAAAGAAGTGTTAGTAGCTCCAATTAAGACCTGCCACAGTTCTTCCTATAAAAAAGCAGCATGTTCCTGAGGCAATATATTAAAGCACTGTTAAGAGATTGATCAAAGGAGTTAGTGAAATTAACAAATACTGCAGAGCCACCTGGAGTTTGGATAATGGCACTTGGAATAATAAAAGATAATAATTTATGCATTTTCTTATCAAATGAAAGGCTGTGTCCATAGGTAGGAAGGCCCAGCACAGGCTGTATTTTTTGTCCATCAATCCTTAGAATAGTGAATAACGTGCTTCCATGAAGAACCAAGTGTGCAGGATAGAACAAAGCTGTCTGTGATGAATCGGCAATCCTTTAATACTTTAAATTCCTACGAAAGACAAAACTGTTTACAATTTTTGTAAGATTTCTTTTGTAAATATCTAACAATTTTTAAGTATATTAGCACTCCCATTTGTTGCTTTCATTTTGGCAATTTTTAAACATATCTTGAAAATACATCCTTTTGGCGTCTACCAAATATCCTGTAAAAAAACGTTTACATGTTTATTTCTTCCAACATAATAACCTATTCTTTATTACTCTTTGTTTTGCCTGTATTTCTAGGTAAAATTCTTCTTCATGTAATCTCCACAATGCTATAGAAAATAAGCCTAATATTCCATTTTCAGAACAACATTAGGAATTTTCCTATTTACGTAGTACAGAAGATTGGTAGATTTATTCTATTTTGAATTGCCCTATAGTCTATGCCTCGTGTTTGTTTGTGTGGATTTCCATTATGAATGCTCAGAGGACCGCTCAGGTGAGTAATTAGAAAATGAAGATGTTTGGCACAAAATCTAGATCTGTTTAGAGGTTCTCCAGGACAGGGGTTAGTTTGTTACCTATTTGTATCATTTTTAGAGCTGCTGTCCAACAGTTCCACTGCCAGGGTGCTGGGTGCTTCAGTGTTTTTCCTTCTTCTGTTCAGTAAGAGACTAGCTACTAAGGAGGCATGCATTTTTCTATTGAGCATTCTCTTGAACGAGGGGAGACCGCAGGATGTGAAAAATTTTCCTGATGTTTTAAGAGATTTAACTCTTCCTGTGGAATTTCTATAACGAAGGGGAGTGGTTGCCTTAGGAAATCTGGGATGTGATTTATGTGGTTTTAAAGATGACTTGCACAGCTTGTGCTTCCCATCCTAATTAAGCTATCCAAAAAGGTAAATATCTTGACTTAATAGGCATGAGACAATGAAAGAGTGCTGTTGCACATTCTTTGGGGCCTTACTTTAAAACATAATTCCTTACTGTGGTTCCAGAGAACATGCATTCTTTTACTGTCTCATGACTACTAAGTCATGATATTTACCTTTTTGGATACCCACAGATGGCCCATCATCTTGGGTCATTTTAGTGAATATAATATTATCAAAAGGACAATATTGTAGAAAGGTAAGATTTCATTTGTCTTTTTGCTAATTATTACAAATGTACAAGGAAAATAGCTGTTCCGTCTTAAACATGTCAAGAATATAAGAGTTTGTATTAGACAAGATTTTTTAGTTTTAAATATCTTAATGAATAAATTATTTAAAGACAAAAGAAAACCTTTTAAGTGGAATGGCCAGCCAAACTGGTATTAGCGTTTCAACTCTATGGGGCTATCTAATGATTACAAACATGCACATTTTTAGTTTCACATGGTATTACATATACAATACTATTGGCTAAATTAACTTCTATATAAAAGTTTGGAATGCTTACACACACACGCTCCTACACTATAGATAAGATGACATGCATTTCTCTAAGGAAAAACTATAAACATCTTTCTGCCTAAAATGTGTTCAAAGGTTAAATGGAATTTCTCCATAAATATACATGCAAAGCATTTCTGAATAAAGAATTAAATTCAACTTCACTGTGCCTTTGTGACGTTATCACATTGGGAGGGCTGGATCCAAAATTACAAGTACATGTTTACACATTGCATTTCGCAATCACAGTGGCAATCATATTAAAATTTGATCATAATACAGAACAGTGGTAGTAATAAAACCCTCTGCAAATATGTGTTTAACTACTTTCCATCTCAGTTTAAAACTGCCTTACCTAAATTATTTTATAACATTTATACAGCAATAGGAAGTTTTGCAAGAAAGTCTTTACAAGCATCCTAAGCCTAAGGTTCCCATAATTAGAAAGTTGGCACACAATAAATGCATGTACAAAGGAAAAAAAATACATATCTGAGTCAACACTTGCAAATTGCTGAAAACAACTGGCACACATTGACTTGAAGAATAGTAGTAGTTATAATAGGCCCTATAGAATAGTTTCATGAAAATACTGATTTATTTTAAAATGTTTTAAAATAATACAGTTTTAATGTTCTCTGAACTATGACTTCGTAAACAAGTTAAAGACTTGCGTCTTTAAAGTAAGCATGATATGTACCACTCTTAAAAACATGTTACATAGACATCTGTTAGAGGAATATTAAGTATGTGGTCTTGAGGATAGAAAGCCTCTAGCAAAGACATTAAAAGCTTTCACATGGTCTGGTTATTTCATACTTTCAATATTCCACACTATGACTTTACTTTTATATGTAACAGGATCTTTAATTGTAGTATGATCTTTAACAATATAGGTAATTAATGTTCAGTAGCTCCCAGAAGTTACTTTAAATTTTAAGTAACTAAAAGTCCTTCCTGAGTGAAAAGGAAAAATTTTTCTTACCTTTAGGTGCCACTTGTAGAAACTGTTTATGAAGCATAGTAAGTTGTGAAATAGTTAGAGTACCATTTCCAGAGGTCTCTATGTGTGGAACATGTGGTGAAGGAACAGGATTAGGAAACACTTTTACATCACTGCTGATGAAGAAATCTGTTTCTTCTAAAGTAATTTCGTATTGGATTTTGATAGAACTCTCAATATGATGTCGTGCAACCTCAATCAGCTTTTCAACACTGTGAAAGTGTAAATGCAGTAAACAATGAGTGCTTTTAATACACAACGTTAACAACTTAGGTTCAAATTTTAATGTGTTTACACTTCGAGAGCTTTCCTTAAGTAAAAATTACAACTCCTCTGTGTGAATTCTGTACTCAGCAAAATCATTGTCCTCTGGAAGGAAGAAATCTTTTGACTGTGGCATGGAATTTATATAAAGACAGATCTAAGCCACAGAAGAGACCTGATGGAAAAATATGAAAGAATAAAACTTTCTTTATTCCTTAAATTTTATAGGGGTGAACATACATGTTCCATCTGTAATCATCCTTTAGCTTATTTCAACACCTTGTCTTCTACTGTGTCCCTAAATCCTAGATGTACAAAGCACTTTCTAGAGTAGCATTTTGGAGGGGCATATGAACTTCTGTTCCAAATGCAATGACGTCAATTTATACAGGGAAAGACATCAGCTGCCTGTAACATTCAACTAGATATAGGTTTGGCCTGGTGTGTCAGGTCAAAGGACATGATGATCTGTAAATACTGTGTCTTTGGTAGTGATTGGTGTCAAGAGAGTAAATAAAACTGACTTGAAGGCAGAGGCTCAGCCTCTTTGTGTTATTGTCTGTTAGAGCCTTCACATCCTACACTCATGACTCTTGCCTTGGGCTTGCCCTGACATAGATCAACCAGCACTGTCCCAGGTATACTTCAAAATTTAGTACAGGCCAGAAACATTTTCCAGAAGGCAACGCGACCTATTTCTTTTGAAAAGTAAAATCCTTTAATGATATGGACATAGGCCATTCTATGCTACTTGACTTTAGCATTATAGAATGGTCCCAAGAACATTTTATTTACTAGGACAGAAAAATTGCAAAGAAGAACTTTTTTTCTTAATGGACCTTGAAATAAATTTGAGAAATGTTATAAATGGTGGTAATAAGAGTAGGTGGAATTTTCCAGCATGTGTAAAGCACAGGAAAGAAAATAACCCCACAGTCCTAAGTGACAGAAGCCACTGAAATTATATAGAGGCTTCTACTAAACGGAATAACTGGTTGTCTGCTGATGTTCATAAATCTTCTAAATCTGTAGTCTAAAAAAACAGCAGAACTGATAATTTTCTCTGCTGATGACAGTAGAACCTTGTAATCATCCAAGAAATTAGTAATTACCATACAGGTATTTAAGTTAAAATTAAATTCCAGTTCATTAAATGAAATTATTATTTTCTACATTTTTTTTCCTAATTATTTGCTTCTATATAAACAACTATCTTTAGTAGCATAGTCTAGTTTGGAAAAAAAAAGGTTCCTATTTAAAATGGTATATATACTACCTGGACATTTCTGCCAAGAACCTGGATCCAAGCCACTTTTCCATATCTTTATACACCTCTTCTGCTTTCATTGTTAGCTCTTCAACAAATGCTAAAGCTTTTTCTTTTATAAGTTCTAGTCGAGATTTTGCAGCTACCTCTGTCAAAATAGTAATGTCATAATAATTACTACTGATAAAATTCTTAGCCTTAAGCACCTAAAGTTTAACAGGTTAACCTGCTTTTAGGCAGTAAAATATTAATTTAATTTCTCATATTCTTGACCAATTTATTTTTCAGAATCACCCCTACTGCACCATGTATTTTACTAAAGTGTGTCTTCTATAAGCATCAGAATTCACAATGTAACTTAATATAAATACAATGTAACTTAACTTAAATACCTTAATAAAACTATCATAGAGGTACAGGGAATGTTTAAGTACACAGTGATATGGAACTAAATTAACACTATACAGCAACAGATCTAAATGCTTAATGATGCAAGTGTGAGTACCCTGTTACGGATAAATTTTAAAGAAAACACATCTTAATCATTATATATGTTAATCACAATAAAAGTTTGTTTTTCTGTTTCTTCTGTTTCCAGCCCTTTAAAATTAACTTCACTGGTTTTGCTTCAAGCTTCCTACATATGACTATTTTATACTCTAAAACTCAGGCTGCATTAGAAAAAAGTTTGGCTAGTGAGCATTAAGAAAATAATTAACCTCTACCAAAACTATGTATAGAGTATTTACATTAAACTTTTAAAAACATTGATAATTTAATGATTTTTAGTTTTCAGAATAGGAAGAATTGAGGAAAAAAAATCAAATTAGTCTCTCACAGAGAGGCTAATACTTAAAAAAATGAAGCTAAAAGGTGAAGAAATGAGAACAAGTCAGCAATGTCCAAGGTGAAAAGGATGCCAACTGGATGAAAAGACAGCTAAGGTAATGTATTGAGACACACATGGAACCAGCACTGAAAGATATTGAAAGCCTTACAAAAGAAGAGTAAGAGGACCTGTAGCTAGAGATTATTTTCAGTCCTGAAGGCAAATTCAGTATTCATCTTGATTTTTCTTCATATTTAACCTTCTGTACTGCAGAATCTTTTAAACAATTAATATTATATAGTAATTGGTACAGTGACTTCAAAGTTAAAGACTGTAAAATTATTTATATTATAAACCTTATTCTAGATGCTACTAATTTTTCAAAATAGTTAGGTTTGGGAATGAAACTTTTTCTAGGCAATCAATATAGAAAGATGGATTCTAAAAAATATAAGGCATGTCCTTTTAATGTTATTTCTCAGTCAAAGTAGAATGCAATTCTGCACACCTCCTGTTTTCAGTAAGAAAGAGCTGACGTTCAAAATTTAGAACATAGAATGGGTTTGGGTCTCATAGAGGGTTATTTTGATTTGATGATAAAGACATAAGAGTAAAGGTTCTAAGCAACTGAAAGTACATGAGAGGATGTTTGTCCTCTGCATTTTCTTTAAATAGCTGCTATCAGTGTGTTACAAAGATAAGCGCATGACAATTTTTGCCTCCCTGCATTTTCAGAAGCAGGTACTGCAGTCCACTGATAAAGCTGCTCTCTTGACAGTAGCAGAGTAAAAGGCAAGGCACATTGATGCAACAGAGAAATGGAATATGAAATCAACATTAAAAACTTAGCAACTGTCCACAACTAGTGACTTTGCTAGTCTCTGTGTACCTGTATAACTGAAGGCAAAAGCATCCAGTTATCATAGCTGCAAGTGAAACTATGATCCACAAATGTACCAGCTATGTGCCTGTGCAATTATGAGATACAGCTCAATGAGTTTAGTCTTCCTTAGATTTTTACCTTGGCTTTTTTGTTAAATGTAAAATGAAAATGAAACAAACTCAAGAAAACAAAACACGTCAATGAATCAATAAAATTCATCTTTATATTACTAAGATCTTCAAAGTTACTGCCATTCCTCTCCTCATTATCCCAAAATCTTAGATTATTTATTCATAAACTGCTTTTCAATTAAACAATATTGAAAGTGGTAGGTGTACAACCATTTGGTCTGGTATGGACTTAAAGAAGCCTTATTAATTTGTGTTTCATTCATTAACTGCTGTTTGCCCTCTACTTTTCATAGTAAAGACTATGCAAAAGTTACCCCACCAAGGAGGTAACACATGATGATGAGCTTGCCAACTGTTCCAAACAGAATCTCTAGCAGCTAGGTTCTATCTTTCCTTTAGTGAGAAAGAGGTCTTTTTCTTCTAGTTGAAACCCATCTGCAAAGAGAATTTCAACTTATTTTCAACTTCAGACTTCCGTTTTTCAGACATCTACTTTTGGCTGAAATTGACCAGTTGCCTTGGAAGTTGAGTAAGACAGACAGAGACAGAATGACATGAACAGTAGATAGTTTTTGGAAGGGTCTGACTGGAATAAAATCTGCATCTTGCTGCTTGAATCCCATGTGGCTTGAGGAAGAGGGAATCAGAGAGAAAAGCATCAATGATATATATAAAATTACCAACAAATTCTTTCCCAGATCAAAACATTTTAAATATGGAATTCAATTTAATTGAATACTGAAGAGTGGATAACCACCTATGTGAAATTTATTCTCTCATGATGAATAATTGCTTAGTCATGGAAAATAAAATGAAAAGAAACAGAAGAGAACAAAAAAGAAGAAAAAAATCCAGATTTCTATTTTAAATATGTTTACCACAAAATCACTGATGACTACTACCCCCAAAAAAATTCCTCATTTCTCCAGACACTTCTTTCTATTCCCTCCTTTTTCTTACTTATCCATCCACTTTCCCTAGATTTTCTGGCTAGTTTTGACTATTACACTACCTAATTTAGGAATAACAATCACTCCCAATATAAGTAACCAAATAACATACCTTCATGTTTCAAGGCACTGAAATATTCTTGCTTTATTTTAAGTGTCAGCTCTTGTTTCTTTAATTCTTCTGGTGTCATAGGAACTGGATTGACTTCAACCATAGATGCAGTAGAAGGCAGTCCTGCAGGAAAATAGACCTCTCAGAGTGTCTGAACTTTGCTGGTAAGTTTGCGTATCCATACACAGGCGCTCACAAGACAGCACATTTTTTAAAATGAAAAATGGCACTTTCTACCTTACTTGATGTGGCTATTTATGACAATACAAAGGTGGTTACTCAAGTGTCTTATGTCAACATAACATATTTAGATTTCTTTGACTGTGATTTACATCTGCAAGACATACTAAGATTAACAGTGCATAAAATTACTCCAGCATATACAACTGTATTAAAGCTGGTTAAATAACATCCTAAAATGTATTTCTGAATGGAAAATCATGATGGAGCAGGTGTGCCTCTGTTGTGATCCCAGATGGTTAAAATGTCCTCTTTGACCCTAAAATCTATCAATTTATCACAACCAGTGAATAAATAAACCCCTTTGGAATGATAACTGTTGCTTCTGGAGCAAATTTAAGTTTAGCAAACTGTAGTAAAATGCTATGTTAGTAAATATCGCTGGTTACCATCAAAGCAGTGAAAAGAACAATAATGCAATTTTAAAAAATCAGTAAGTCAGAAGAAAAAAAAAAAAAAAAAGAACTATGTTATTCCATGCCTTTCTAAACCATTGTTAGCTGTTTTTGCAGCTTGCTTTAACTTACGTATCTATGAACAGACATTGTAAAGGTATTTTATCATAGTTTTAAAGACTGCATGAAATTCTGTAGTCACAATGCTATGTTACTCAAAAATATTAAAATACTCCTAACTGGTTTGTCCTAGAAGAGCAGATGGAGCTGTTACAGAGGAAAAAAAAAAAAAAAAAACAAACAAACAAACAAACAACAAAAAAAAAAAAAAAAAAAAAAAACAAAAAAAAACATCTGCATGATACATAAGGTCAACATGAAGCAAATGGTCAAACCTAGAAGTGATAAAATTACATATGCTAAATTGTATCACTCAGTTACTAGACTATAGCTGTATCCTAGGGAATTCTTCTGTTACAGAAACATTACGGTGACACTGTATTTAGAATTAAATCAAAACTGAAACTTAGTTACAGATACATCAACTGATACTTCATCTTCCACCATGAGGAATGCACAGTTGATTTCTAGTTGCAGTTCTGTTACTTTACAGATTTGTGATTTCAGGCAAGTCATGTAGTACCAGGTCTGAACAAAAATTTATTCTGAAGAGGCAATCTACAAACCACAACATAGCCACTTAGTATTAAACAGGTGATAGCTGCTGATTTTTTATCACTAAGCTTTCCTAGAAATTTGAAAATCTGCTACATTCTTGGCTGGATTAAGATGCTAAGCACCCACCTAAGGCTCCCTTGGGCTCGCAAATTAGGTATCCATGTGGCTATGCGTTTGCAGGGCTATACTTGTTCACTGTACTATGAGCAGAATCAACCACAGAGCGAGCACCAAGTACAGTTCAAAGAAAAGGTTTATCAAAAAAAAAAAAAAAAAAAAAAGTCAGCCACTTTATGCATAACAACTCTGCAGTTACAACTCTTTTTCACTTGGAAATGAAGTACCTGAATTTCAGGCTACCCTCACACAGACAGGGCTTGAAGCCCTCTCTTGCTATGTAGAATGCCTTTACAGAGGACACAAGGTTCAGGCTACCAGCCCCTGGCTTCCTGCCGGAGCTATAACATTTTGCAGAAAGAAGTGGAAGTTACTTAAACCACTACCTGCTCCAGGAAGTATTTATGAAAAAAAAAAGTATAAACAGCATTGCATGCCAGAATTTCTTCTATCAGACTGCCTGAATTGCTAGGATAAAGAGATAGAAATTGTAGGTCTGTTTCTCTTTTGCAAATAAACTTTGTATTCTCATCTGGTTGGACAGATTCTTGCCAGGTCTATGAGTAAGATCTTCCTCAGTGGGAGTCTGATCTTCTTTAGGACTACATATACCATTAGATTTTATGTTATTTATTTACATCATGTTACAGTTATATATAAAAATTATGGACCCTGATAGATCCATGCTACTATGTGGCTGATAAATTCATTCCAAAATACCTTCGGGTATTGGATAATTTATCCATTTTATTTCACTACTTTTATTTTAATATTTGAAATATTTTAACCAATCGCTGGAAAGTAGGCAGAATTTAATGGAATTCTATTTAAATTGATAAACTAGTTTTAATTATTGAATTCCCAAACAGCACATGGAGAAAAAATATTTACTTTCTAGGTTTTACTTGGAGTATTTATTTCTGACTAATAATTATGGCAACACATATGATTAAATAAGTGCAATTGCCATTCAAAAGCCTCTGCACTCCTTTATCACTAACAGATTTTCACATTGATATGCCACATTTGACATTTCAAAACAGAAATTAAATCAAATTAAATGTCTTGGGTTACTCTTTTCTGTATTACTGACATATTTACATTTCAGTAATTTCAAGCATTGCTACAACAAAGTCTGCATTTCAAATACCTTTCTTCTTCGTAGCTGATCTGGGAGAAAGCTTTTTGGCATCTTTGGCATCTTTCCCAGTAGCTTTGCCTGACAACGTCTGTGAAGATTTCATATCTTCTTTCAGTTCTAGCTGCTGACGTTCATTTTCTTCCTCCATTTCTTTAGATTCTATTTCAGCTGTTACCTTGATGCCACAGTCACACATAGTAAAGTACATAGTATCAACCCTGTGTAACTACTGTTTTGAATAGCCTGTATTTCCTGAAAGTACTTGCTGAGACATACACATATAAATACAACAAAGGAGATACTGTAATTATTTAAATTTATTACATTTTGATTATTTCTCAAAAATAAAATTCTACAGCAAAAATGCAAGCGAGATAGTGGTTTTAATTCTTGTAACCAATTATCTGTACTCTAGGAACAAGTGAGAAATGTAAGAATCAACAGTATGCAAAGCAAGACTAAAGCTATACTGTAAGGGTGTAGAAATTCACTTATTTTAAAATGACCAAAGAAAAAGAAAAAGTGAATCCAGAAACCAACCATTTGAAAAGCCCACCTAATTTACTTTTAGCTATATATAAGGAAGAATGTAACCATAGCTTTCGAAGCTGTGAAAGGTTTGAGCGAACAGTGCATCACGGGATAAAACTTGTCCCTCTTCTCTCACTTCTACTGAGGGATAAGGGAAGAGTTTATCATGGAAGAAGTAGATATATAGAGTCAACATTCAAAATATTTCTCTCAGTAATAGAATGAAAGGATCCATTATAAACACAGTTTCCAACATTTTCTTCATAGAAACATAAACATATTCAATTACAGTATCAGTGGTTGAGCAAGACACATGAAACAGATACACAGTGCGAAGTTCTGTGTATTTAGGCTGCCTACTGAATGGGAGGCTTTGACTGTGCAATCCGGAAATGTTTAAGTAAATAAGACATTTCTTACCATATTTGATACTGCTGTCACTGCTGTTTGATATATATCAGTAATAAGACTTTCATCTTTCCCAAAAGTGGCCACTCCATTTTCAGAATTCTCATCCTTAGCACTCTTCTGTGGAGTTCCTTTGCTTTTTGACTTGTTAGTATTTATTTCTGGTGGAGGGTTCCAAGAAACTAGAGGAATCCTTACAAATAAAATATAAGGCATAATTCACACACACCCCTTAATAAAAAGTGTTAACTTATAACTACACTGGAGAATATACTAAGGGAACATGAATGTTTTTTTCAAGATTTGCCATAGCAACAGAAAAAGGATGAACTTTCCTTATGACCAAAAGTGGTGCAATGTGTGGATCACAAGAAAAATATCTAGTTTAACTACAGAAGCTAATGAATAATAATAGATGGATAAAATACGTCAAATGACTGCATGATCTGCTGGTATTTTCCACATGGACTAGAAGCACAGACTCATTACTCAGTTTCTAAATGAACTGTAAGTATTTTAAAAAATCAGGTGTCATTATTGACAGCATTTTTGATATTGTGAAATTATTTGATGGTATCTCTTACCTTTTAATATAGCATCCAATTCTGTGCATCATTGTAGGCTGATTTGATTTATATTTGTAATAACATAACCCATTATGTTTGTTGGTGCAAATTTTAAACCTTTTAATGTTCCATAATGATATTTAACTTAGTTATGTGATGATTATGCTGGAAACTGTCAGCAACACAGGGAAATAGGGAACATTTTTACAGCAGATTTCTTTCTAAGGTAGCATTTAAAGTGGTTTGTAATTCAGAGATGCAATAGTGAAAATGGCATAGGTAAATCAGTAAAAATTCAGGGATAAATTAAACCTGTGATTCAAGACTCATCCACTGACTGTAATACCTTGTTAAAAATTCTTACTTCCTCATCCTTTGAAATATATGCACATATATTTTCACATACAGCCACAAAGCTATCAGTGCATTGTATTTGTTGATATTTGTATAATTTAATAATGCATTTTTACCTTCTTGATTTATTTTCATCTTCTTTCTGCTCTACAGCAGCAATATCTAGCAATGGGATTCTAGTAAAATCTTGACCATCATCTGTTGGTATTTTTCCTTCCATTGCCCTATAATAATCATGAAGAAGTCTCTTTGTATCTTGGAAACGATCCAGTTCAACCTCAAGAAGAAAGGACAGAAAAATTTAAATTCAAAACAGGAAAGAACAAATTTCTGTTACATTTTTAAACAGATCATAGCAGAAGCAATTCTAAATCCTAAGAGTTTGAAGGAAAGCAACAAACATAACCATATTTGTTTGAAAATTTATAATGTATTCAATGCACACTACTACTTGCATCTAGAATGTCTTCACACTAGTATTTCTAAGGATTAATAAAAATTTTAGTTGTTAGAATAGGAAGAATTATTTACAATAATGTTTGATGCATTAAATTTAATAACGGTATATTTTGAGGTATATGTTTTTCTATAGTAGCAAGTATACTACGTACAACAAATCATAGGGATCTTTTTGTTCAAAAGAAATAAAATCCTTAATAGTATAAAATAAGAAGGGTTAAGTGATGGAGAAAATTTTAAAACCCATAAAGTTTTTCTTGACCGAAGAAATCAACAGACTTTCCACACCTAAGTGTCTTGAAGATCTTTCTGTGTGAATCATCTTGGAAGAAATCAAATAAGATTCAAAAAACATTTAGCACCTGTCATGTTTTGATTTATTGATATAGTATGGTGTTAGTTTCTAACTGACAAAACAGTACTAAATATTCATGGGAAAATGCACAAAACCACATTCACAAAACAAAGGATAAAACCTTTGTGGTGTAAACCAGAACTTATCCATAAGTTAAGGAGAAATATCTCCTAGTATAACACTGTGTACACGGAAAGGTGAAAAGAAATCTGATAAACGGCATTTATACAAATTTATGTGTTAAAACAGTAACAGAGCCACCTGGGGAATATATGCAACTTCCCACAGAAAAACCCACAGACAGAGAGCTCAAGACCAAAGAAGCCTATTTTTGGCTGCTTCTCAAACAAAGCCATAACATAAAGATATAGTTATTATATTTTTAATTCTGTACTTCTAGCATTAATAATTCATTTATTTTAGGAAGTATATACTAAGTGAAGGAAGTAAAAAGTGTTTCCTTTGCATTTTTCTTTAGAAAAATAAAAGCTTACATATATTTAATACATCTATTTGTCCTTTTAAATGGCTACTCTACATATCCACACAAGACAGATTAAACTAGATTCATAGTGAATCTCCTCTGTACTGCATCATGCATGTCCAGGAAATTCTGCTAGAAGAGAATTAGGATTGAGAAATTACACATGAATACAAAAGAAGAAAAACAAAAGATGTAAGATCTTTAATTAAGTCTTTATTTAGGGCATTATTTACACTCTTTGAAAACAGAGTTAATAATTTCCTTACTATAGCAACTGACTATTTCACAAACTTTACTTAAATTACCACAACACTCATATGAGATAAGAGACTGCTTCCTTTGTTTGTAAGCATATAAAGATAACACAGAGAATAAAAGGGCAGAAAGCCCACCCTAAATTGTTTAGGCCTGATTTTTCAGCCAAATAATCATCTCTTAACACATGTTTAAAGCATTGTTTTCATTGTCTTATTTAAAGCTGCCAAAACTTTCACCAAATGGTCACTCAGTTTACAGAAAAGCTTGTGTAGTCTAGTCTAGTCCAGTCCAGTCCAGCCCAGTTCCAAACCAAATTTATGCACCTAGAACAGCAGTCACAGGGAAATCTTACTGCAGGAACTGAAATAATTAATAATCAGGATGAATGAGAGGAAAGCCTTAATGTGGGGTACATGGTCTCTTGAAAACTTTGAGGTTAGATGTGTGAAAGCTGGATCATATTTGAACAGATTTTCTCAAGAGCAACAAATGACATCAAATTATTAAAAACATTCCTTGCAATTTTTTTTTCAGCCTGTAGGTAAAATTTCAAGCCATGTTGGTGAAGTTAATAACTGACACAATATTGTGATATGGGGAATACAGGACAAACTCAACAGCAAGTGGGTCTACAACATCAGTGAATTATGTAATTTGTAAATTAAAAGCAGATGTCAATATGATCACAGAAGGATAAGCATTCCTAACATTCCTGTTACAAAACTCAGATGATTCACTGGACTGATAAAATTGCAAAAAGTAGCACTATATACTACAGGTTGGAAGTCTGGGGGGTTTGACAATACCAGTGGTGTTTTTCTTAAGCTTTTCTGCCTGCCAAACAGTTACATGTATGGAATGCCATCTACTTTTTGCCTCAACTTTTTAGATATGTACAGAAAAGGCACGGACATTTGCTTATCTAATTCTCCATCCCTCACTTATTTGGAGCCAACCATACAAAATTCCTCTGAGGCTGACTGTCCTCCAAATCTAATTCATTGTTTCTTTCCATTGTAGACTGCATAGTGGATCCATACCTGCATAAGTGAAAAGAAATGGTTCATTGCTATCCCACTATGATCTGGTAACCAGCCATCATTCATGATATCAGTACGTTCCTGCTCTGCTTCTTCCCTTCTGTTATCACAGATATCCCAGAGAAGATCTCTTAGGTCCTAAAACACAAAATTAAATATGAGAAATAACTATGAAACAGAATTTTAATACCTTTTTTTATATTTAATATTAAAAATTGTATTTTTTTTGCCTGTGCATAGGGCATCTTCCCATCTGGGGCTTTTTCTTTATTGTTGTAAATGTCAAAGCCTGGTCAACAGGTCATATGCTTACAGAAAGCTGACATAAAATAGTTTTGCAACTGTGCCAGAGAGAAAAATATAAAGGTATGAGATGAATGTACAGTCTGCCTTGCTTTCCTCGGGCAGAGAAGATCTATCTAAGCTAGACACGTGAGAATATGAATAAGCTCCCAACTGCACCAACTTTCCACTTGAATGGTTTGCTCCCTAATACATTTACAATAAGAACACTCTAAGGGGATGCGCAATATGAAAAATTCTGAGAAAATTACGTCAGAGTTCAAGTTTCCATCCAATTTGGATAGCTCTATGCCACTTTTCTTTAATGTTCTTTATAACTAAGGGCTCTTCAACTACTGACTATACCTAATAGCAGCACTATGTGGCTCACTGAAAGGACTGAAGACCTACTAAGCATACAACATGCATGCAAACTCTCTGTTCTCCATTGCCATCTCTGCTGGAAATAGGTGACAGAAGAGAAGAGAGATGCTAAATGCAGTGCTCAGGTAGGCTAAGATGAGCTGTCTCTAAGTCTCCAAGCAGTTTCAGGATAAAGAGAAAAGGTGTTCCAGACTTCCAGGTAAAGGCTATCAGATATTCATGGTTACCCACATTGTAGGCTTTACATGTAAGGATATTCTACTGAATAAAAAAGATATAAGCATAAAACTTATCTGTTTTGCAGTGGTGTGTTGACCTTGGCTGGCTGCCAGGTGTCCACCAAGCTGCTCTATCACTCCCCCTCTTCACAGGACAGGGGGAGAAACTATGATGGAAAAGTTACTGGGTCAAGATAATGATCAGGAGATCACTCATTACCATCATGTGCAAAACAGACTCGACTTAGGGAAATTAATTTAATTTATTGCCAATTAATAACAGAGCAGAATAGTAAGAAATAGAACAAAACTATAATCACCTTTCCCCCACCCCTTCTTCTTCCCAGGTTCAACTTCACTCCTGACTCTTCTACCTCCTGCCCTGCAAGTGGTGCAGGGAGGATGGGGAATGGGGAGTTGTGGTGACTTCGTTATGCATTCTCTGCTGCTCCTTCTGCCTCACACTATTCTGCTGCTGCAGAGTGGGGTCCCTCTCAAGGGATACAGTCCTCCATGAACTTCTCCAACTTGGGCCTTTCCTTTGGGCTTCAGTTCTTCAAGAAGTGCTCAGCATGGGTCCTTTCTATGTGTGCAGTTCTTCAGAATTGTACTGCTCCAACGTGGGTCTTCCATGGGCCACAAGTCCTGCCAGAACACCTACTCCTGCATGGGCTCCTCTCTGCGGGCTGCAGTTCCTGCCAGGAGCCTGTTCTAATGTCGGCTCTCCACAGGCTGCTGCTCCTTTCAGGGCACGTCCACCTGCTCCAGCATGGGGTCCTCCACAGGCTGCAAGGTGGATATCTGTTTTACTGTGGTCCTCCATGGGCTGCAGTTACACAATCTGCATCACCATTGTCTTCTCCACAGGCTCCAGGGGAATCTCTGCTCTGGTACCTGGAACACCTCTTCCTCCTCCTTCTCCACTGACCTGAGTGACTGCACTGTTGTTTCTCTCACATATTCCCACTCCTCTCTCACAGCTGCAATGCAGCATTTTTTACCCTTTCCTTAAATACGCTGTCACAGAGGCACCACCACCATCACTGACTGGCTCAGCTTTGGCAAGCAGCAGGTCTGTCTTGGAGCCAGTGGCTCTGTTTGACACTGATGTCTTCTCAAAGAAGCCACTTCTGGAGACCCTCTGCTGCCAAAGCCTTGCCACATAAACCCAATACTATACAAACAAAATAAGCTGATGTTTTGTACAAACTGATCTACAGCTCTTTCCTGTACCTTCCTGAGACACATATGGAGGAGCATTTTCTTCTTTGTCCTCATGTTATTCAGTAACAGATTTGATTTCCTGTAAGCAGTGGAGATAACTGGAAAGGGAGACAGTGTCCCTTCTCTGTTTTGTGTGTCTCTCCTTCCCACCACTCTTCCCCTTTTCAAAGTGAAGCAGCTTCTCTTTCCATCTTCCCTTGCACTTAAATGGGTGAAAAAAAAAGAAAAAATGGATGCATGCACTAAGTCCTCTCCTATCTGGAACAAGAGAAACAGTGGGACCATGCAACTGATCACATTCAGTGATAGCAATGGAGTGAGAGGGAATTTGGAGAAAACGCTGAAAGACGGTGTAACAGAGATAGGCTGCTGAGGATATTTTATCCACACAGATTCGGAGTTTCGATCTTTAGGATGCCAAAACTGCTCTTTGGGCTTTAGGCCTTTGAGGAATTGTTCACACATCACAAAATGGGGTGGACTTTTACGTTTTCCAGCTAATATTAGGAATTTGGTTTTCAGCTTTTACAGCTGGCAGCTTCCAGTGTGGATAGGGTTTCAGTTAGGGTCCATCTGAGATGACAGAGCTGAGCGGTCTGGGAAAGATTAAATTGTTTGAAGAAAAAGATTCCACAGATTATAACTCTCTTCATTTCTTCCCTCTTCTTTTCTAGCATCAAGGAAGGATGGATGGCAGAACTCTCACATTCAGGCAAGTACAATGGGCAGGGCTTAACATCATAGAGGAAGTATCATCTTCACGTTCACCCACATGTTTGGGATGCACAAGGACTAGAATGGGTCATTCAGAAACAAAATCTCTGGAAATCATATATTTACTCCAAAATGCCTTACTTACTGTGCTTAGCCTTGCCACAGTACCTGAGTTTCACTGCATCATATGGGTCTATCACCTCCTCTTAACCTAATTTGAAATGGACGATGTCAAACATGGATTTCTGTTACAAGTGAACGGCCAAATATTTTAAATTTTAGCTTTCTGAAATATAGGACTCATAGGGATTCCAGTCTTTTTATAATTCCATTTAGTAGAAATTAGGAATACGGATGATGATTTTTTAGTCCTCTACTTCATTCTATTTAAATAATGCTAAAGAAAAGGATGTCCAACACTTTTTCCATCTCAGTGAATTCAATCATGATTCCACCAGTGTTCCCTTCAACTAACAATATTGCCAGCATTTTTATCACACTTTTCTGGGAGCATTTCCTACGATGATTTAAACTAAAAATCATGTCTGTTCCGAAATGGGAATCTGAAAAGTTGAAAGATAGCTCTACTTCCTGCCTAAATTAAATCTGGCTCTGAACTCGTTAGGACCTTTACTCTTACGGATTTTTGCGAAGAAGAACTCTCAGGACATGTCTGACCTAGCATGTCAAAGAGACTTCAAACATTTCAAAGAAATTATCTGTATTTTTTATGAAACAGTTTTAGAAAACATATACTACCATGTATCATTTATGGAAAAACTATATGACTGCCACGATTTGTTAGAATGTGATAGAAATGTCCAAATTTGTGAGTAAAATCTCTGAAAACCATAATACGTAAAGAAAATTAAAGCAGAGAAATATTTAATGTACAATGTGCCAAAATATCACAGTATAATCTAAAAAAAAGAAGCAAGACATAAGATATAACCAAAAACCAGAGAAATAACTGTGAAAAACACTTTATGTACAAGAGGAAGTGAAATAGCTTAAGAGTGGTAAAAAAGAAAAAAATGTAAATAATTATATCATTCATGTTACATTGAGTTTGTATACAATGAAATAATACTTTAGGGTATGTTACAACTTTTGCCATCTACTTACAGTAACTCTTTGGTGTAGTTCTGCTTTTGTTTCCTCATCTTCTCGCAGGTCATCAGCAATTGAATTGAAATCTGATTGCCACTGAGATACAAATTCCTGCTTAAGATCTGGACGCTTCAAGTAACCTTGGAATTTTTTTCTGTAAATTGTGGTAAAAATAATTTTAATTTTTAAAGTCATACAAAATGCCACAGGGAAAATATAAAATACTAATATTAATGTAATAAGCTACTATTTCTACTCACCTAATGTCTGCTAAGTAGTCAATCACAGTGTGCTGTTCATCCCTTAGACATCTAAGTATAGTTTTGATGGTATTCATGTATGCATTTTCTACCATTTCCCAGTAAGGTACTAAAAAACCAGGTATCTCCTGTGAATTTTTTAAAAACATCAAAATTAATTGTTATATTTCTCAGTAACCCATTTAGGCGTAGCATTAGCAAATATAAGACAGGTTATTTCATTAAATCACATTACTGAGTTTTTTCACTATGTACTTCTTTTGATTTACAACTATTTACAACTGAGTATGGATACTGTATCAACATATAGTTTATCCTGTGCATTTTTTTGGTAAAAAGCAGCGGTACTCAAAATGAATGGGAAATTTCAACAGAATACTCCAGTATCTGTGGTTTTGGATACACTCATAAACAACGTGAAGATATTATATGAGAATTTAAGTATCAAAAACTGGTGGTACACATCTGTTCAAGCTGGTAAAAATATAAGTTGACTGTCTAGTGTTGCAAAAGTGACATTAGGCTGACTGACTGTCATAAAATGCAAAATAAAGCCCATGGCCAGGGACAACATGGTTATATGTGTGCTAATTGCAGTCATGAAGGCAAAATTGGTAAGTATTAGGAAAGGAGCTGCAGAAGAAAATACAAAGTATCATTCTGCAGCCTTCAAATCTACATCTCAAATACTGCATGCAGTTCCAGCTCCCCATCCCAAAAAATTTACAGTTGAACAGACAGACAGAAGGGTAAGAATCATGACTGAACATATGAGCTGCTCCCCATGAGGAGAGTTAAACAGATTATGACTGGAGAAGCAAAGCAACATTGAGCAAAATGAAGATGTAATAGATGTTATTTGTATTTTTAGATATTTGTAATGCAGTACTAGTGTACCTCTCCTTGAATAATACTGAAGAAAACAACATGCAATGAGACACAATGTTTAGATAGAATATGCATAAAATACCAAGAAAAATACATACTTTGATATCTAAGACTTTTAATCATGAATGAATGTACCTTGGGAAGTGGTTCATCCACATAAATCCATTCATCTGATCCTGGTTCAATTGGTGGTGGTGCCACAGGAACAGGAGGAAACGGATCTTGACTTGTAACTGGTAAAAGGTTTTTTTCTGCTGATATTTCTTGAGCAGACCCTTATACATGAATGTACAATTAGTACCTTCAAATACATTGTAAGCATCAATAAACAGAATTAGACTTCTATGCTACTCTGACAAGTTCAACATAAGGGAACAGATTCAATATTTCATTACTTGTTTATCAAAAGATATACTAATCAAATCAGTGATGCTATAGTTATAAAATCACTTTCCAGTTAAGCTTATATTTTGCAGGACTGATACTCTTCTAAAACCATCACTAAAAGAGAATCGTGAAAATAATTAGTATGTATGCATATGAAACAAGTTCTTTACCACGTAAACCAAGGCCAGTGGTGTTGATACAATTCTGAGATTTATTATAACTATCGTGATTTCAAGGACTCCCTGCTTAATTAAAGAACAGTTTTAAACATTTATAGCTTCCATGATAGACTTGGGAATGAGTTAATCAAATAAAACAAACATTGAAGAAGACAGAAACAGGTAAATTGAGCTAAATCGGGCCTAACATGGAAAATACACCTTACTCAGAGGAAAAGCTGAAAAGTATGAAAGATGATGGATGGGAAAAATGAGACAGAAAAGATCATGTGGTAGGGAATGAAAGAGGTGGAAAACTAATTCTGATAACCTATAGTATAGCAAAATAATACTAAGTGTAGTTAGCAGCGTAAGAGCATGATTCAACTCTAGGATCTGAACTGACATCTAAAAAGATATCAGCACTTCTCCGTGACCACAGAAGAATTCCACAACTAGATTTTTAAGTTAATGTTAATTAACTGCTCAGAATCACGTACATGAAATCTAGCCAGTTTTGCTGTGGATTTGAAAATATTTGGAGAAAATGAATAGGCTTGCATTAAATCAGTGTTGTTACAGTTTTGTCTTTTTGTTTGGAAGCAGCTTAGAGTTTACAGAATAGTTGTGTTTTGTTTTACTTTAAGTGTGACAAATCTGTCTCTGAAAAACACTGTCTTGCTGGGTCCTTCAATGGAAAAACTGCTATCATTCTCCTGATTCTGTTGGCCACATAACTACTTCAGCTCCTGATAAATATTTTGAGAACCAGTCTCTGTAGCTTTACCATGTTGCTCCCAGAAAGCTACTAATGTCTGACTAATACATTCTCATACCTCTGTTCTGCTTGTATGAACCTAATCATGAAGGACAGCTTGGAAACTATCAACATAAATATAAATATAGACATTATTTACAGACGATGGGAGATACTTCTGCACATGGAGTAAAAAGTCCTTATGGTAGATCTACACGATAGCTGCAATCTAACCAGAAAACCTCAACTCCATTTGCATCAATAGGGATTTTGCCATTGACTCCAGCAGGGCTATGGATTATATCTAGCACATAAAAAATAAAAGCAATTCCAACCAGATCATTGTTTGAAAATGCTCCATCCGGTTTTCTGTCAGATGTGATATTTTCAAGAATTTTTCATGAACTGGAAACCTTGTGCAGGAATAGAGGTCCAAACTTTGACTGTTAAGAGTGCATTTCAAGCTAATACTTTTTTTTTTTTTTTTGGTGGTAGAAGACACATCAAGACTTTAATGTAATAATTACAAAGAAAAAACCTGCTCATTCTCAAGTTTACTAATCCTCGTTTACTTGATGCAACTTTTCCTTGGATACTTCATATTTTTTCCTTTTTTATTTTAAAATTTTTCTTTCCTTTTGGGTGATTAAGAGTAAAAAAATTGAATAAATATGCACCAAAATACATGTCAAAACCACTCCAAGTTATCCATGCTTTTAAGCTGTGGCTGATAAAAGAATATATGTTGATAATGGCAAGTTAGTCTTTCTTATACCATTATGTTATCACATATGGTGAAGATGCTAGCTGCAAAATTTAAACCAGGAAGAAAGGACTGAATTTAGTAATCCTTTACTTCGTGGAATTTAAATAAACCCAACTGAGACTTTATTTTAAACTTTTTAAAACTTTTTCTCAAATGATCTTTACAATTATGTGAAATTGGTGCATACCCTCTGAAAACATAAAAACACAGCAGAAGTCAGAGTTCTGGTGCAGTTACCACTAACTTGTACATCCCCAAAGTCTTGAAGGGCCAGTGAAAATATATGTTTCCATATAGCTTTACATAGTAATTATTAGTATTAATTACAAATAACAAAGTCTTTTCTTACTGAATTGTAAAAAGTAAGAACATGAAAACTTACTTCTAGTCTGTTTTTTGGCAATTTCTTCCATTATAATTTCCTTCACTGTTTCACACATGAGACTTTCTTCTGTCTCTGCATTGACTTTCACTAGAATATTTTGATGGACTGAAAACCATTTCTCTAATTTTGGCCATGTGTCTAGAAAGCCTGAAATTCTACAAAAATCACATTAATGTATAAAATTAAAATCTAACTAATGAAAAATAAAACATTTTCTCAAATTAATATATAAAAGATAAAGCAGACCATCTAATCTAATACTAAAACAAATCCATACTTTTTGCAAAGTAATACTCCATCCATATCAGCCCCTTCATTTTCAACATAGGAAAATTTTCAAAATTCTACTGTTAACTAGTCTTATATATTTCCGCCTTTTTCTTGTCACAAGCTAAACCTACTTTTATCACAACAATAATAATAATAGTCTGAAATAGTTAATATATCAAATATTTAGAAATAAAACTTGTTCTTGATTTTGCTCTTTATGTAAAGTTAAACATCCAATAATTCAATAAAAAATACAAAACTAATTGGTTTTTATAAATGTAAAAGTGAAAGATATGATTTTATACAATCTGCAACTGAAATCAAGTGCATTTTATTCAAGGGCAGTCACATGAAGTATGACATACCTCAGATATATGTATGCATAGATAGACATATACGTATACATATGGTACAATGCAATATATATATGAAAAATAAATTGTCCTTGCAAGCATACCTTGGAAAAGCAAAACACATGAATTCTTATCTTCTAGTACTATTCATACTGTGCAAAAATGGAAGTACACTTTAGGTTCTATGTTAGAGAAACTCCTAAGTAAATTCTTAACATTAGGCATATCAGTACTATATGGATCACATATGAGATTCGGATTAATTACATGCCTAAAAATCTGGCTAAAGCAAATTTTTGTACTGCATATAACATACCTATGTAGAACATGGTCTCTGGCTAAGTCAGTTTTCTCTTCTATGATTTCAGCATCTGAATTTTGATTGTTGTTCTGTTCAGTTTGAGATGACTTTGATTTATCTGCTGTGTGGAAACCTGCATATATGAACATATATTGACAAAGACAATTATGCAGGCAGTTATTTGACTGAAGTAAGATAATTATTCAAAGAAAAACATAAGTATTCTTTGATCTTACATTTCTTCATTTAAAAATTGAGTAGCAAACTTCCTAAAAGAAAAGTCAGAGAAAATCTTAGAAATATAAAATTTGGCTGGAAAGGACCTGAAGACAGTCTTACCTCTTCCTGTTTAAACGTATAGCCAATTATAGCACTAACATTTCCTGATGGATGCTTTTGATCGTAGAAATTTCCAGTTGTAGAGAGGGAGCATTCCTGTGGGTGGACTATTTCAGGCTTATCTATTCTAAATTAGAAGGTATTTTCTCAGTCTAATCTGAATCTTCCTTGAAGTAACTACAACTTTTCACAACAATAGACAGATATTCCACTGCATTTGAAGATGCAGTATTCTCCCTCTGAGTCTTACCTAAATTTAGAAAACCCTTTAATTGATTAGAAATAAGCCATATTTTATAACTTGGGATTTTTTTAATGTGTAATGCCACATAAAACACAGCATTGTTATCAGAAGCTCTAATAATTTTGACTCATCCTCACTCCTACCTGTACATAAAAGCTAAAAGTAAATGGTGCTTTACTTCAAGCTATGTACCATGTAAGTGCTGCAGTGAAATCAATGAAGACAAATCTCCTTATAATTTTAACAATATGGGACATATTAATGAAAAGAATTTACATTTTGCCAAGGTGAGTAAGGGTAATTAAAAATGTGAGGCCTAGAAGTGAAACAGCCCTCAAAAAGCTTTTGATGTCTTTGCTTTTGGTGAACAAAACTGACAATTACTGATTGTTCACTAACTAAAGACAATACAAAGGTAATAATCAATAGGGAATGAATGTTGGCACATCCATTTGTTTATCATTTCCTTCATCCTTTTCCAAATGTGTCTCCTGGAGAAAAATACTATTTACACATACTCGTTTGTAATGAGGCATATTTCTGCAACTGTTGTAATTTGTGGGTTTTTCCAAATGCTCTTTTATGTGGTATCTAACACCAGACACTATGTTATCTCAGCTTCAGTGAGAATTCAGTACAAACAGAAACAAGCATATACACATACATTGCATACTTCTGATCTGCCTTTGACTGAAACAAATATATTTGAAATAATCTGGAAGCATTCAAGGCAGTAATGCACAATTACTGAAAGTGATACTGTGAGATATAGAGAAATTGTGAAGTAATGCTATTTTGCTCCCATAAGTACAACGTACAGGTATATCTTGTAAATAATGTTTGGGATTAATATGTTCCTTATACATAGTCATGTACTTTTAGACAGCTAAAGTTAAAAGGGGCCTTACAAATGGAGAAAAAAGCTGCCAAGAAATTTAAACAATTTCTAATTTCATAATTGTCAGAGGAAAATAAAGGTCTTATATAATTTAGTGGGTTTAATTAAAGTATGCAACTTGCTATTACGTTGCAAAGTACTCACAATTTAGTCATTTCAGTATTATAACAATCTTTACATTTCCCATACATTAGAATCTGCTCATCATATCACTTTATTAAAAGTAGTTGGAAACTTACGCTTCAAGTTAGCCACACGTTTCAGTACCACAGTGTCTGAAATATCCAATAACACAGAAATATCAAATGCATGTGAGGTAACAGGAGGCTTGTTCGGGGCTCTGGGATCTGTAACAAGTGACAGCTTTCCAGAACTTGCATCTTTTGCTTCTGGATCAATCCCTGTATAGGCTTTTTCAAATAGCTTTGCCTGATCAACTGTCATTGGAAAGCCATCCACAATCCACCCCTTCTCTGGTGGTGTATGTCTAAGAGTAAATGAAGAATCAGAATTATACAGTGAATTGATAGCATAATAATAACATCTAAATAAGAGCTTGCCCTAGCAAGCATTCTGAATTCAGTATATTAAATATCCAGTTGAATACAGAATACAACAGGCATAATTAAACTGTAAAGCATTGGATTTTAAATCAAAAAAATAACATCATGCCTAACTAAAAGTGAAAAAAAAAAGCAATAACCAAACAATTTTTTCTGTCTTGATAAAGTTTTCAAAAACACTCTTTATACAGACTATGATCAGATGTGTAATTTCACTATTTTGTCTACTAACCTTTGCACCAATACAACAAATAGCAAAATTTGTTCCATAGCTTTAAATTCTACTAATGGGAGTAATATCATTTAAATGAGATTAATGTGAGAAGTTAAGTGCTAATTGCACATCAGGGTAGTTGAGAGAATTTTCTGTCAAACAAGAGTAGTCGAAAATAAGTAACCTAACTGCAGGAACATGAACGCTTGGATTATTCATTTCACAAAATCTAAAAGAAAAAATACTAGCACATGCTGAATAGCTTCCAACTAATAAACAAAGTAGAGACACTAGCTATATTTAATGACTGTGTGATAGTCATGGGTATATTTATAATTACCTGCAGCAGTGTACAATAATATCTGCATAATTTAGGGCTAGGCTCTACTGCTAGCATAAAATGACTGTTAACTAAGTTCACTGATTAGCTCCACTTCCCAAGTAGAAGATCAGTGTTCAAGAAATACCTTAATGAAGATAAATGGCTGAATCTTGACTACAAAATGGATAATTACATTCTAAATAACTGAGGAAAAAAACCTATATAATTTCATACTTAATGGCTTCCAATAGGATGTCAATTAGTAATTCATCTGGAATGCTTTTTCCTTTCTTCAACAATTTCTGTGATGCGGCACCAAGCTGGGCTCGTACAGATAGCTGTGGAAAAGTGCAGTGTAAAACTAAGATGATCAGAATGTTCACAACACTCACTGTTAAAAGGAGTATGATTCTACTTCATATATTGTATATTATATATTATATATTTTAGTGTAATATTTATTGTGCTATTTAATTATATTTCATATTTATTTTTATTTATTAAGGATAAATAGTTTTAACTGATGTAAAAAAGGCCTAATTAAATTGAAATCACCAGCTGATTTCCATCATTACACCCATAAAAATGTTAGACAGAAACAAGGTTGAGAAACAAAGTATATGAAGGACAGGAGAAAAAAAATTAAGTGTCCAGTTTCTAAACTTATTCTGATTTTCACTACCATGAATCCACTGACAGTTTTATACAACAGCATTTAACTTCATTATTTCTACAGGGATTTTTTTATATCTTAGCTTTCAAAATATTTTCCAGTGAGCAATAAATTCAGAGATCACTGTAGAATTAAGTATTCTTGAAAATAAAGAAATCTTGTTATGGGATGAATGATCTGCTTGGCAGCAGCAAAATCAGGAATATACTTTTGCTAACTCAGAAGTGACTCAGAAACTACCATATCTTACATAAATGTTAGATTTAACAAGAAGATACAGAATATTAACAGTATGTACGAATCTAATCAACAAACACAGGAATAGATTTTCCTATCAAAATGCTTGCAATGAGGTCAATAAATTAATTTCAGAATGATGAAAGGGTGACATTATTTAAGTAATTTAATCATTTTAACAAATGCATCTTTATAAAGTAGAAGCTAAAATTGGATTACAAACCTTGCATAGGCCATCCTGACTGTTATCTGATTTAAATTCATGCCCAGATGGATCCTTTTTGACAGGACAATTGCCTAAAATAGGTACATTATAAAGTTTGACAATTCTAATACTAATATTTAATATTATTTAATTAATATTATTTAATATTAATGTAATTAATACTAATATTTATTACTACAGACAAACGACAAAAGTATATGCCTCATTATTGTTCTCTGAACAAATTGATACAGAAGGTATATACAATTGTTAGAATCATAGGATTATTGATTAATTCACACTGGAAGCAAATTCTGGAGGTCACCTAGTTCAAGTTCAATCTTCTGCTCAAAGTGGCATCAGTGAAAATGTCAGATCATGTTTCTCAGCTGCTTACCCAGTGTGATCTAGAAAACCTCCAAGGATGGAGACTACACTACTTCTGCATGCAATTTTTTTCAAAGTTTGATGGTTCTCATGGGGAAAAGGCCTTGTCTTATGTCCAGCCAGACGGGCAATAAGATATCTCCACAACAAATGGAAGGCTAGGGAAAATGTGGGCCTGCTGAGAGAGACTTGGAAAAGACTGAGGTATTCCAAGCCCCTGTGACTATCAGAAAAGTCTGCATCAAGAAAGATTTACCCATTCTGGAAGAGGATCGGCTTACACAAAACATAACATAAACTGGAAATACACAAGTCCATGGGACCTGATGGCATATACCCACAAACACCAAGGGACCTGGCCAATGCCATTCCTAGGCCACTCTCAATAGTCTTTGAAAAGTTCTGGTGATTGGGAAAGGTTCCCAGGACTAGAAGAATGCAACTGCCACTCCTGTCTTCAAGGAAGGCAAGAAGGGGGAATTGGAGATGTACAAGCTAGGCAGCCTCACCTCAGTCCCAAGGGACTGATGGAGCAAATAAGCATGGAAAACATTTCCAAGTCCATTAAGGACAAGAAGGTGATTTGGAGTTGTCAGCATGGATTTACAAAGGGGAATTCATGCCCGACTAACCTGACAACCTTCTAGAATGAGGTGGCGGGCTCAGTGGTTGAGAGAAGATCAGCATATGCTGTTTACATTGTCTTTTGCCACCGTCTTCCTTAACGCTCTCACAGACAAAGTGATGAAGTACGGACTAGATAAGTAGGCAGTGAGGCGGACTGAAAACTGGCTGAACTGCCAGGCTCAAGGGGCTGTGATCAGCAGCGTGAAGTGCAGCTGATGGCCAGTGATCAGCGATGTAGCCCAAGCACTGATTCCGAGACCAATACTGTTTAACATCGTCATTAGTGACCTGCATGACGAGACAAAGCATACCCTCAACAAGTTTGCAGATGATATAAAACTGGAAGGAGTGGTTGATGCACCAGGTGGTTGTGCTGCCCTTCAGTGGAACCTTGATGGGCAGGAGAAAAGGGCTGGCAGGAATCTCATGAAGTTCAGCAATGGGAAATGCTTCTGGTGAGGAAAATCCCGTGCCTCCAGTACCAGCTGAGGGCCAACTGTCTTGAAAGCAGCTCTGCAGAGAAGGCCCTGGAGGAGAACAAGCTGACCATGAGCCAGCAACGTGCCCTTGCAGCAAAGGACAACAGCGTCACGGATCACATTCAAAAGATATGGCACTGGTGAGACCACATCTGCAGTGCAGTGTCCACTCTGGGACTCCCCAGTGCAAGACAGACATGGATATATTGGACCAGGCCCAGAGAAAAGCCCTGACAATTCCTAAGTTCTGGGAGTATCTGGTGTATGAGGAGAGGCTGAGAGCTGTGGCTGTTCAGCCTGGAGAAGAGAAGGCCTGAGGGGAACCTTTTAAATGTTTAGAAATATCTGGAGTGGGGAGAAGAGTAAAGAAAACAGAGACAGACTCTTCTTAGCGGTACCAAGTAAAAGAACAAAAGGCAACAGACATAAACTGAAACACAGGAAATTCCATTTAGAAATAAAAATATTAACTGTAAGGGTTACAGAATATTGGAACATGTTAGTGAGGTTTTGGAGTCTCCATCCTTGGAAATGTTCAGCATCCAACTGAACATAGTCCTGAACAACCTGCAGTATTGACAGTGCTTTGAGGTGGAGCGTTGGACTAGATGATCTCCAGAGGTCCCTTTCACCCTCAATCATTCTGTGATTCTGAGTTTAGATGGCTGAGCCTAGTGTCAGTTCCTTAGTTGGTAAGATCTGCTGTAGAGAAAAGTAAAGTGAAGGGAGGTGAGGGCTTGTATTTCCTTCCTTTGGAAGCTGCTTTTAAGCTGAAGCTCTCATCCTGGACCCTGCTTGTGGTACGTTACAGCTGTATAGCAGCCATGTCTGCACCCCATGTCCTGTCCACTTGATTCTGACCCTGACACACAAGTGCTGACTTGAGTTCCCAGTTTGACCTCAGACTTGCTTCATTGGAACAAAAAGGGGCCCAAACAATAGGCCTCAAACCAAAGTTGACTTCTGAGTGAATTCCCCGACCAGCAATCAGCATCTTATCAGCAGACTGAAGCAACCAGTATCTTATCAGCATGAAAATGTAACCCTGGGAACAATCCTTGGGAACTATAAGTAAACAATAGGAAGTAACTATAAATCCCAAATGTAAAGAAAAACAGAAACTCCTCAGACGTGCGGGATCCTGGCCAGATCCGGACATGCCTGAGTGAGGCATATCAATCTACCAGATATCTCCTGTGCGTTTTGTTTAGACTTGTTTGTTAAACTGTATAAAAGCTGGACCCTCTCACAGCAAAGACGGAGACCTCACCTACGAGCGGACGCACTGCGTAGGACTTCCCAATTGCTGGGAAAGGCTCTCCGACCCTTCGCTGTGACGGGGCTCCCCAGCTGATGCACGGGTCTGGATGATGGTAAAGTATGAGGGCAATTGGTGATGTATCTTTCTTAATCACTATAGCTAGCTTTAAATAGTAATGTCTAGGTGCATTACCTTGCTTATTCTTTCTGCTATTTCTACTATAGTAAAATTTCTATTTCTACTAAAGTAAAATAAGCCTTTTTCTTTAGCTTGGTGTCTGTGTCCTTTGTGTTAACCCCGTCAATTGGCAAAACATTCATTGGCAGAATCGCTGGGTTATCACCAGATGGAAGCTCATGATGATCAAAGTCTCTGGACCTGATAGTGACCCTGACTTCAGTCAATATCCTCACTCCTTGTTGGTGAATGTTGGTGCTTCCTGCTTTGCTGTTGCCCTCGTCACCTAGCTCACCTTCCTCCATGGAGCAGCCTGCACTTGCTGCTCCCAGATATTAGGAATGTGTCGAAACATGAAATTCATAATGGAAACTACTGTGAAAACTCAGATGTCATGGATAGGATACTACCTGAAATGTACAAGAGAAAGGGGAATTGCCATCTAAATCTAATAAGATAAGAATTAATTTTATAAATATATATCTACACATATAAATTAAATGTATACATACCTTTGGTTCCATTGTTAGGTGGTTCTGTTTGGAGTTTCTTTAGAACTTCCAGTGGTGATTTTGGTAAGTTTTTCTGGACCTTGTATTAATTGTGAAAGGAAATGGATTAGAAAGGAAATTACATATTAGAGGAAAAACAAGCCTGTCAATTCAAACTGACTCGTGAAGTCTTGTAAATCAAAACACAGACTTAAATTTGAAATTGAATAAAAAAGTTGAAACTATATGCTTTCTTCATTCTGTATTTCATTCTAATGTCCCCATGTGAGCCAAATCCAAAATTAACAAAAATCATTACCTCATTTTGTTCCCCAGAACTCTCTGCTTCTTGTGGAATCACATTGTGTTCACTTTTCATTTCATTTTTAAGAAAAGCTTGGATAGCCTCCTCAACTAGAGTATCAACACATAGTACCTGAATATTGCAAACTAATACACAAAAAAATTAGGCAGCCTTAAAGTTTGAGTTGAGCATACATAAAGAAAGACTATTAATGGCAATTAAATTAATTGTTTTGTTTGGGCTTTTGATGTCAGCTGTTTCCACTGTCTCTTCTCTATAACTACTGCACAGTGTGTATCCACAATCACATGGCTATTTTGCTAGACTCTTCGATTACAAACATTCCCAGAGAAGTTTGGCAAAAGCATTTTCAAATTCTCAATGCAGAAGTAATTATGTTAACATTATATTCAAGTTCAGATATTTTTAATCTTATTTTGCAAGATAATGAATGAATGACTTGCAACCAACCCCTGTAAAATACAGACGCATCTGGGGTTCAAGGATTAGTAATGCAAGGATTTGGACAAAGGATTTTAATTTTAAGATTTGGATTTTAACACAAATAAACATTGTTAAGAATTTTTGGAAAAAATAAAAGTATCTCTACCTTTTTCAATAAACTTTACACAGGTCGTTTTTCCACTAAAAAGTTTTCCCAAAATACATCCCTTGACAGGAAACGGAGGAAATACAGGTGGTGCAGATTTGGGTTTTGGAGGATAGAAAATCTCCATCAGTCTACGAAGCACATGACCCAATATGTTATTATTAAGAGGAGGTTTGATTTCATTGTTATCTTCAGTTGGGCACCATTCCCCTGTCATACTCTGTATAAATGACAAATTACCGAATAATTTGTCAATATGCCTTGTCTTTCATTTTTCTAGATATATGTATTTATATTCAAACACAATACATACAATAACCAAATCTGAATAGTACTACATAATAAAGTATTTTTTATAATAGACCCTTGTTAAAAGCTATAATTATGTCCTAATCATTAAGCAGTTATTGATTTTCACTAATACCTAGACAAGAGAGACAAGTACTCCTACAACCATTTTCACAGATTCCTAGAATCCTTTTTTTTAATTCCATAAACATGAAAAATCATTTCACTAATTCCACAGAATCAATCAGTGGTAGATTTTTGGAATAAAATCCCAGTATCCTAATATTCAGCATTCTAAAAAGTGGGCAACATTATTGCCCAGTATCACATATAAATATTTAAAAATTTTTATGGGCAATAATTTAAAATATATATATTTGCCTAACACACATTCAACAGACAGAAAAATAAAACCCAAACCAGACAATCCTAAACAAACCCAAACCAAACAAACCACCATATAATTCAAACAATTTTAAGGGAAGGAATTACTGAGTAGAAATTTCCAGTTCATCTACTCAGAGACCAATATAAATTTATCAGTGATATGAGTTACCAGCATACAGTTTAATGAAGTTTTGCTAGTAAAGATACTCTTACCAGCAATCACATTGGAAGAAAGATGGGAATGGAAGGATGTAGTCAAAAGAATTGTACACAGAATTGTGCTTTTGCCACTCTAATATATACCCTATCAGTATTGGATCTTATAACACTAGGAAAGTCCTGATGTGCAGCTTATGCTATGAGAAGCTAAAAGTGAACATTTTAATACGTAGGGTCATACTAGTCCTGTATTAATTATTATTTCGGTGCAGGCTACTAAACAGTTGTTTGGAAGATATGCTGACTAATAATATTCCCAATTAGATTCTAGCTTGTCACCTCATCTGGGGTGCACAATAAAGGATTGAGAGGCAAAACCAAATGTTTCAGCAAGAGCAATTCCAACTAGGAAAAAAAAAAATGAAGAAAAAAATGTTCACAATGAGACTAGTTAAGCACAGTAACAGGTTGCACAGAGAGTCTGTAAAATCTCTATCCTTGGAAATACTTGAAAGTTCACCAGACAAGGCGCTGGACAACCTTACCTGACTCAGAAGTTGGCCCTGCTTTGAGCAAAGAGGTTGAACTAAATGACCTCCACATCCCTTTCAAGCTAAACAATTGTATCATTCTATAACTTAAATATTTATTCACCATCAACAGAAGCAACTAGTTTCGAAGTTCTGCTGAAAGATAATGTTTGAATTCACATTCCAGATAAGATATGCAATCTTTTCCTGAACTTACTATCATGAATGATATATTGCCACAGCATACATTCTGCCAACAAAACTTTATCAGTGTTGACTTTGAAAATATGTGCATTAGACAGAATAACATAATGTAACTTATTACCTCTCTAAATATAAATACCACCTTGTTTTAATCAGTAAAAACAAACAAGAAAAAACTTTTTGAGTTTTGCAATATCTCCTCTCATATCTCAAAAAGCATACTTCTTAAGATGTAATTGAAAAGACACGCTTAAAAAACGCAATTCCTTCTCCTATATGAACAAGTCTTCCTTAAACATGTAAGCAGAGATGGATCAGTTATTTAGAATTCTATCAGGCCTATAGGAAAAATTAGTTCCAAATGGAATGGGCTCCCCATTCAAAGTACTCACCTTTCAGATTTCTTACCCTTTTAACCAGAAGATTGCTAGACTGTACCTGCCTTGAGCTAAAGTAGCTTACCTGTCAGAAACAAGTTTTCAAGTATCCAGGTGACAGTTATATAACTCCTAGTCAACACTTTTGATTGAAGCTGGAAATTATTTGATATCTTGAGCAGTGCCTACTATTATGCTTTTTTTTTGGGTGATTCCATTAATTTATTAAGTGATAGGCCACAACTGATCATGTGGCAGTTTCCAAATATTTTCAAGCTCAATATAATGTGGAATGTGCAATGGACTGATAGCACTGTATTTTGTTCTTGTATTTTATCAAATATATTTGACACTTTTAGTCAGTATTCCTAATGTAAACTTAGTATTCTTGAGATATGCTAAAATGCCCATGCTCACTTTTTTCTCAAGAGTTAAGAAAATCAGCATAAACTTTGTTAGAATGCCCTGCCAATACACTTTTATCTAGAAGCAATACTTCGAAGATATTAGGTATTCACTTAGGTTTTTAGAAGACATAAGTATGAAATGGTGCCAACAATTTTACACGTCATATGATATCAGCTTTTGATGAATACTGATTCAGAGAGGCATAATACTAACATCGGGAAAAAAATTAATTATGTGAATGTGCATTTGAAACAGGCTGGTAGTGAGAAGGAGGCTTTAAATGTGTCATTGAATGTTTGCAACATTCAGTGCCCTTACATCTAGAGAAGATTACTGAAGACTAGAGAAGACTACTTTGTAGTATAAACAAAAATACGAATGAAAAACTTAATTTTCATTAGTTCTCCCTACTAACTGCTTCCTGCATGTCCTCCCTGCTGTCTTGTATATGTATTTTTTTTTCACCTAAAGAAATTGATCATGAAATTCATTATATGAGTTGATATGGTCTAAACAAGGACCTTATAAATAGACAAATCAGAAAAACATATTAAGATTGAAAACAAAGTAAATTGAGCTGTCAGACATTCATCAGAGAAACTTGTAACAAACATTTATACTCATTGCAAAAGAAACTGTACCAATTGGTTCGGGATGTGGATAAAAGCACACATATATTGTAGTTACAATTACCCAACAAGTCAATGACAGGTTATTTGCCATGATTTTGCCATATTCTAGTTAAACAGATTATTTGAAAACATTAAATATGTAGGGGGATTTTTTTTTTCCAAAGAAAAGCATAATTATAATTTGCAAAAAGTTGTACATTACATTTTAACAGGGAAACATTCATCCTTCGTCTTTCACTTGTGAAATTACATTAATGTATTGTAAAGTTGAAGAAAAGCACCTTGAAAAATACTTATATTCTAACAGGAGGTTAACAAAAATGTCAGCCATTTTTAGTAATTTTCACAAACATTACTGTCTTAAAATAAATGGATCACTCAAGCCAATAAATCTTGTTAGAAAGCTTTCACTCAAAATTGCTGAAATTAAGACTACCAGGTTTTGCAACAGATACAGTATTTCATTTTACTTGCTATTGCTGGATACTCTCTGTTACATTTTCAAATGTGGTAGCATCAACCACACTTTCAAATTCCAATTAACTAAAAATTAACTTCATTGTAAGTAACATGTTGGTCCTATGAACTCAGGAGAGAAATATGATCAATGTTCTATTCAAGAATAAAATTCAAATAATGTTTTAAAATTGATCTAGTGCTACTAACATAAAATATAGCCATATATTTCATATAGAACCCCAGACAATGAAAATAAAATGCATGTCAAAATCTGATATTAGAAACTAGTAAAAGAACAAATTGAAACATCACAACAAAATCTTTATGATTATGAAAATCAAGGTGTATTATCTTTCATTATGTCATATCTGTTTGATGTACCTTGTATTCACCATAATCTTTTTCATCTAACAGATTAATTTTATTCAGCTCTACAAGCTGTTCTGGGCTCAGTTCATTTGGCAAAGGTTGAATTGAGGCTTGTTCATACAATGGTTTTCCATTAAAAAAAAATTCCTTCCAATCAAGCATCAGTTTTAATGGAATTCTGCTGCAGAAAAAAAAAAAAAAAAATTAGTTCCAAAATAAAAATTAAAGGGGTTGTATATTTGAGAATAGTGGACCCAGACTTACAAGAATCACAATCATAAAACAAGGATATGCTAAACTAGATATAGTTGATAATGCTTTCTGCAACTATTATAGCTTTTTATAAGGGCTTGTATGACAGCTGTAGGTACTCGTAGGCTTCAGTATTTTCACAGATGTGTCATCACACAGTATTTGGCGGGCAGATCTGTGCAGTAACAGTTTTGCTATAGCTATTTTTCCCTGCTCCAAAATATTCTTACCTTTTGTGGAGTAAAGCTTCCTCTCACCAAAAATCTATTGAACTTTTCCCTGGAAGCTGAAGTTAATTTAGAACTAAATAAGTAATTACAGGTATTTTTTCCTTTCTTTCTTTTAGAAAGGAAAAATATTCGTATGAAACAAGAAGACAAACTGCATATAGTAGCAAACTAAATGCAAACAGGATGCTGACATATGTCACATTAGAATTCTATGGCTGCTAAATAAATAAATTTAACAAATGGTCAAAATGAAAGTTTCTACTATTTCTTAAGATTACATCAATTTGGACTCTCTTTTTTTTTAGTAATGATTGTAGATAGTTGAGTGTTATAGCTTTAAATAAACTCTGCATTTGCTGTTCAAAAATAATTCAAAAATAATACCTGTTGTATACATCGTGCACAATTAAGTGCATGGAAGGACAGACAAAGAATACCTATAGTGAGAGTAAATGCAGATACAACCTTGATATGCATACTTTTGAAAGATATTTCAAATATCTGTACATATTGTGCACCACTCAGTACAAGCAAATGTGACACTAGCTTACACTGGAACTACAACTGTGTCAGACAAGGAAATCATCAAATCACCACTAAACACTGTCTAGGCTGACTATTTTATCATGTACTTACTAGGCCTAAATTTACATAATTTACATAAAACTTAGTAATACATATTCCATAATGTTACAGATTTATTATTTTAACATACAATTACATTAAAAGATAGTGAAGATTTTAGCATATTTTCCAATGCTGTAAGCATTACCCCAGAGTATAATCACTGAATGAAAGAACAGAAACACCCCACTTTGTGGTTTTGGAGACACACCTACAGCACAGGCACTTGAACGTTACTGCTTTTTTAGGACCTTCTCAGAAACCCTCTGCAATTAGGGCATGTCAGAACAGGAAATCATAGTATGTAGAACTCAGAAGACTTTGGACTGAGGTGCTACTCTTAGGACAGTCCAGGCAGGTTGATATATCTTAGAAAATTAATTCTGTTTGTATTATACCAAGGAAGCATATAGCTAGTGGAGCAATCTAGAATGAGATGAGCACCACTCAGGTTTTAACTTTTAAGCTAAGGAATTTGTTCATAAAAACAGGCAATCAGTAGTTCCACAAGCTGTAGAATTAGTTGATCTTGCTCTCCTAATGATTCAAGTTAGTTGAGTTTTCAATAAATTATGCTAAGGCTTTAGCATTAGTTCACCCCGTATTACATATCAGTGAATCTTCACATGAAAGCAATATCATCATTATTCCAGACAAATTAATTGGAGCTGTCCTGTAAGATATCTGAGAATCTACATAAGATGTTATGGTGCTAAAACCAGTCTGAATAATTAAGCCTAACAGCTTCCTAACAGCTGTTATTTTTGCCTAACAGCTACTATACTCACTTGTTTGTCAGTAGACGATATTCTCCTACTTTTGTGGACAAATCAATGATTTGGTCAATCACTTCTGAACATATAGAAAAATGCTTTTTATAGCGTGCCTGAGCTCTTTCAATGGCAATTTTCTCATGACGTTCTCTTTCTTTGGTAATTTGTTCTTCATAATCAATTTTTTCTTGTTTTGCAAGAGCCTGGAGGTTTTTTTAAAGAGTAGATTTGAGATTGCAAAGAAAATGAAAGTGCAGAAGTGTACAGTCCTGGAAACAAAAATTAACTTGCTCATTTAAGTCAAGAAATGAAAAGAGCTAGATTCTCACCAGAGTTGAATAGGGAACAAGAAGATTAGCACATAGACAAATCTAAAAATTTGTATTCATCCTACAAATTCCAGTTTGTTTTCTTTCTAACTGCTAAACTATAATGAAATAAAGGAGAAATACATTACCTCTTTCATGACAAACATATTCAGTGCTTAAAGGGCAGGGAAACGTGAAATGATGCTGTCTGCTTTTCCTAAGGAACTATGCAGATGCACTGGTAAAGGCTTAATTCCACTGAAACCCACAATGGAATACTCATTTAGAATAAATGCCAAGTAATTTAATTTACAAGATTCCAACTCACAAATAATTTGATATTATTGATGCTCTTCAATCTGAGAAAGATTTCTGGTCATGGTAGAAACTTATCAGTAGTTCCTGTGATAGTGTGTTCCTTTTGGCCAAAAGGGTACTTAAAGAAATGTAATCAATAGCTATAGTTGCTGATTACATAGGGCTCCAGCTGTGTTGAAGAATTTGGAGCTGCTAATTGTTTTCGGTAGGGGCAAAATAAGATTTCTACCATCACTTTATGGCCTACTGTGAGCACAGCACTTGGCCGTTTGCCACAGCATTAGGAGTCCTTTTAATTTAATAATCAGCTCCAAGCTCCAAGGTAGAAATTAGCACTCAGGAGTGAGACTCCTTCAGCATTTGTCGAAAATGGATGTTAACAGGTTACATCTAAAGGAAATTAAAACCATGAGTCTTGAAACAAGATCTTATGTCATTGTATTCTGTCATTTTGCCTCTGCAAGACTGGGCCTCTTACACTCAGCATACAGAGATGTTTTCCTACAAAGTTATACTCAGTTTGGAAGAAAAGATCAAAATTAGAATTCAAGTCGCTCGGCTTCATCCCTTATTAATTGAGCTGTAACTCTGAACCCATATAAAAGAATATATTCATCATTAAATCACCCTGCCCCTAGAAAAGTCCTAAATTCTAGTCCTAAAATTTGACAATACAAATTCCATTTTATAACAGGAAGGTACTGTAACAATCCTGCAGCAATTCAGGGACCAAATAATCTTTTACCGCTTCTCTATCAAGAGCTTCCTGGAATTCTTTCAGTCGTCTTTCTTCATATTGTTTTTCCCTGAAAATTCTGTTTTGCCTTAACACTTCTTTTTCATGTCGAACATGCATGAGTTGAACAGCAATCCTCCGCTCCTGCTGAGATTGTCTCATTAGTCTGCAAATAAGTTGCTCTTCCTGGTAAGCCTCCTAAAAGATAGAAAGTAATAGTATTATGCACAGCTTATAAACTATTTCATAGACAACTCATAAGTGTCTCATATGAGAAATATGGAGTCATATAACAGCATTTACCTTCTCATTTGATATATAAATCCATAACATACATATCTATTTCTGAGTACTATTTCTGTAAACTATGTAAGTTTTGTAGAACTATAGAAGTGAATTCTAAATATGTCTTAACTGAGATATTCAGTAAAAATACATTTGTTCACATGAACTCAATTTTAACTTGGAAATTTCCTGTGTGCAAAGAAACTCAGCATATTTCAAATTGTTTCTGTATGTGAAGATATACCCTTTTCTCAAATCAATAATTTATCCACACTCATCACCAGTCCCCATTCTCAGCCATACTCTGCCGGATCCTTGATCCAATCTATTCTCCTATACGTTTGAAATTTTTCCTTCTTTATTGGTATTTGGGTAATTATGTCCTCTGTTCTCCTCCATTCAGAAGACTGGAAGTATCAGGAACCATTAAGAACAGAGGAAAATACAAGACTTCCAGGTAAGAGTTTCAGTGTTTCCACTGGGACATGAATAAAATCTCATATTTAGTACTAAAAGAAAATAATTCTGAACCACTGCTTGAAGCACAGTCAGTGTGCACAAGACACTTTAAAGGTTGTGGACTGCTACTTTTCAAAGTACTTGTCAGAACATAATAGTGTCTTCTCACTACTACACTCCTCTAGACTGTTCTTGGTATCTAAAGTTTTGCTTCCCTACTTTCACAGTTGAGAACTACCTCTGAGTTCTAAACAAAAGCATCAGCTTGCCTTTCAAGCCCCACCATCAAATATCACTCCTTCAGCAGAATTTTAGAGGAAATTTCTGGTTCTCTGGACATTTGTTTCAGATGCAGAAGAACTGCTATGATATGTATTCAAATTTGAGGACCTAAATTTGGAACTGATCTGAAGATTTCAAATTAATTTTCCTAAGAACAGAGGAACAGGTAAGGCAGTTAGTAGTAATACAAAAAGCAAAAGAAAATAAAGTTCCACTTCCATTTTGTCTTAATCTGATTTATTTTCCATCAGCTGTCTGTGACAGAGAAGGCAGGACACATTACATAAATTCACCTATAAATAAAAAAATCAAACTTTATTACATTTTATCATACTATTTATGAAACAACTTCACAAAGAAGTCTAGATCTGTGCTACACAATGCAACCAGGACATCTGTAATAGATTTATAATACAAAGCTGCAAAACATGGCTATTTTAATTGCAATATTAAGAACAACAACTTTCTAATTAATTAAGATCTTTATTGATGATGTTAGAGAGAAGCCAGTATTTTTCAAACAAAACTCTTCCCATATTTTTAAGTTCCTTTTCCTTTACAACTGATGGGAATAAAGGACATTCTTATTACATGCTAGTGACTTGAAAAGATTAAACTGATACAAAAATCCCTCTGCATTTTGCTTATTTTTGCCAAAATGTGAGGTTTGCACTCCCCTTTCCTAGCACTGAATCTCGTGACACTGCATGACTGTTCTAACGGCAAAGATGCAGTCATCTCAGGTTTTAATCCCAGAGTGCTTCACCAGCACACAATATTACCTCTCTACAAAGCCTAAGACAAAACAAGAATCTGATTTTGAATGCATTTTGGTGCCACTCTATTTGCAGTGTACTGTTTGTACACGATTTTTCTATTCAAAGAATTATCATCATGCATGCAACTGAAATGGAAAACAAAGTAATAGTAACAACTTTATATGCACTTTATATTTTTGTATTCATTCTATGTGTCATTTGATATAGCACAGGTGATAAAATTTTCCAATAGCAGTGCCTACCGAAGAGTTATTCTGTCTATTTGTCTCTTACATTCATGAAGTCAAGGCAGTAAAAGGAGACATGATGTCCTTCACTGCCTCAGTTCTATCCACTGCTTCCTTAGACCTAGTATTTCATTAAGATTTCAAAGAGTAGGGGATGCACAGACTTTGCTTCCTATTACAACTAAATATCCTTCATTGTTTTCTTTAGTTGCAATTCCTTATCCTCAGCCATGGATTAGTACAGCAATAAGTATTTCACCAGAGGAAAATGGATCTTTAAATCCTAATTCACAAGGGACTGAAGGAGCCACCCTAACAGAGTGGTCATTTGTCATACTCAAACCATCAACTGTACAGTGCAAGTAGTTGGCCCAGTGAGATATAGAAGCACCTCATCTAGGTAAATGTGCTCTTTATAAAGGAAACAGAAAGATTCTCCTTTAGAACACTTCAGAGCAGCCAAAAGAGACCTTTTCTTTCTTAATCGAAGGGTAGAGAGCTTTGGTATTCTACATGATTAAATATTTTGACATGCTGAGTAAGCCTAAATAGAGCCAGCAGGAAATTTCTGAGGAACAAGAATATATGAAAAGGCAATTAACACAGAGCTACACAATGGTTAAATCAGGATTCAGAACATCAAACTCATAATTTCAAAAAGGGTGCTTACTGGATAAGGGAGTGAAGTGTTGGTATCCACCTTTCATATAAACGGGAATGGACAAAGTACTAAAACCTAAGGTTGAAAAGATTTGAATTCTGGGCATACTATGAGTTAAAATGGTAGTATCATTTTCTGACCTAATATTTTACATCAATTTTGCACAGAGGTCTGTGAAGTGTCTGAAGAAGTCATAAATATCGTAAAAAGAACACAGAATTATAGAACGGTTTGGGTTGGAAGGGACCTTAAAGACCACCTAGTTCCAACCCCCCTGCCATGGGCAGGGACACCTTCCCCCAGCCCAGGTTGCTCAAAGCCCCGTCCAGCCTGGCCATGAACCCTTCCAGGGAGGGGGCAGCCACAGCTGCTCTGGGCACCCTGTGCCAGGGCCTCACCACCCTCACACTAAAGAATTTCTTCCTTCTGTCTAATCTAAATCTACCCTCTTTCAGTTTAAAGCCATTACCCCTTGTCCTATTACTACATTCCCTGATAAAGAGTCCCTCCCCACCTTTCCTGTAGCCCCATTTAAGCACTGGAAGGCCGCTATAAGGTCTCCCTGGCACCTTCTCCTTTCCCGGCTGAACACCAACTCCCTCAGCCTGTCCTCATAGGGGAGCTGCTCCAGCCCTCTCATCATCTTCGTGGCCTCCTCTAGGCTCACTCCATAGTAATAATTTGAAAAATTACATCCAAGAAAGCATAATACACACTTTTTTCCAGTTCACCTATTCAAGACAACAGTGGCATCCAGTGGCCAAACATCAATGTGTTTATGTTTCATGTTGTTTATACATAATTACTATATCATGTTTTTTCCATTTTGTTATTTCCTTGTTTAATTTACATGCAAAGGAAACAATTCTGTGCTGTTGTGACATCATAAAATTCATGGCCAAAACTTATAGCTTAGCATAGATAAATCTATTTGGTGGACAAGCAATAATCTAGTAACAATTAATTTATCCTCCCATTTTCATGTTCCCAATTTATTGCTGATGGTAACTTCTTCCTGATAATTTTTAAAATTCAGAGATAAAAGCTGAATGGAGCATATAAATATGAGTGCTTAGAACAAATACTTTGTTGAAATGGTGGAGATCAAAGATACAATTGGGATGAAGCCATGTTACCATCAAGTACTTTCAACTCCTGCCTCTGAAAACCTGACTGGCATCACCCTGTGCTCTACATTGAGGAATGTCATGTAATTGTAAAGTACTTTTTCTCCCAGGCTCCAACTTGTAGTGTGTCAAAATTCAAAAATTTGAACAATCTTTTTAGTAGAGGTTTATGCATATGGACATGAAACACAGTAAAGCACTCTGAAGGTATGAAATTCATTTAACTCTAAATGATCTCGTGCCCTGTGTTCAAGGTTTATGCAGTGTAGGTAAAAATCTGACCCTAATGTCTACAAGTTAAAATTGCTGTCTACAAATCCTTTCTAGTTCAAAGTCTGATAGAGGGAGAAAGTAATTTTCAACTACTTTGTATACTTATTTATTTTTTAAAGAAAATAATCTCAGTTTGCTTCATACTTCTCTTAAATCAAGCAATATCTAATTTCTGCAATCTCACAGAATTCCAACCAGACGCCTCTTCCTCTGATAATTTAAAACCAAATTACCACTAAATAGATCCTCTGATCTGGTCAGACTACTGTTCCAGTCAACTGCTCACTTGTCTTTCCTTCTAATTTCTGCAGTCTGTGACTTCTGTTGTTCCTATATCAACACTGGCCTCACTGGAGCCAGTCTGATTGGCAGCACATTGCAACAATTCCTCCATCTCAAACTGACCAGGTTCATACTACAACCACAGGTGGACCACCTGTCTGATGTCCTCAACAGCACTAGCTGGCTTTGCTGACTTAGAGCTGATGTATCGACCAAATGTCCCAGTGATTGCTGCTGGCCACATGGCAATCAGGTGATAGCCTTGGCTATCAGAAGCACTAGTCCAGGATGCTGGGTTTGTGCTGGGGCTGCAACAGCTAACAGAAGGTAAAGAGCAAGTTTGGGGACTACGGTGATTTTAGACAACTGGGTTGCAGAACTTCTTCGTGGCCTATGCATATCAACAAGAACATGATACAGAATCTCTTTGAATAAGAACTTGGAGACAGGATACATGGATTCTTGGTCTAAGCCACTATAGCTGTTTTTCATAAAATATAGATCTGGGATAGATAATGAGAAGTCATCTAATTTCTAGATGCCTACCTCAACAAATTTAATTTTTTTCTTAACAACTCCAAAAACATCTCCAGACATTACATGCCAATAAACACATAAATAAATGTGATTTCATTCTTTTCAGAGATGCCACACATCCGAAGTGCCATTATTATGCAACAGCAGTGGAGACAGGCTCGGCTATACTGGGTTCAACACATATGATCTAAACTAAGGACTCATAGTGCAATACTAAGATAAAAGACAACCAGAAATCACAGAAACCTGGTGAGATACAAGATTCTGTTCTGATACAATTATTACAAAAGAGAAGATCTGTAAGTGAGTAATCTAAGAGCTGCTCTTTCAGTGAGGAGTGTCTGAGGAGGAATCTGAAAAACCGTATGTTTTATGGGACAGGATACAAAGGGAATAACCTGCAACATCCACTTTAGACACAACACTGACATCCTCCAGAGACACATTAAAAAAATCAAATCTCTGATCTGCAAAATAACTGTTTTGCTTCTTCACATCACCCAGCACAACCATTTCAGAATTCATCCAGTCCAGATCGAAAAATTTACATGACACATTTGTAAATACAGGTTTTCAACCAAAGAATGCCATATTTGTTGTTTTTTAATAAGCATCTTCTTCAGAACTAGTACAAGTTTTGGTAATTTAAAGTTCAACTTTGGGGTACAGGGGGCAACAATAGAAGGCAGGTCCTTCAACTGAATTTTAATAACTTTAGCTCTGCTGCCTTCATTTGATTCTTTATGATTTATAAGGATGAAGTATGACATAAAGGTGGTGAGAAAGAATGGACAACTTTCCGTATTTTCCAATGAAAGACAATGGTTGGCATAAAAGTTATTTTCAGATAAGCGTATATATCTCCCTTTATCCCCTCCAAATTTTATTCAATCCTCCAAAAATGCTGTTCTTTTACATTTGTAAGCAAAGTTTTTAGATTACTAATTGTGCATGGGTTACACACTTCAGCATACACTTCCTCACCTCTTCAGCTTCATGTGCTATTAACTGTTCCATTAGCATTTTTCGTCGTCTCTTTTCTCGTTGTTCTCTAGCAAACTTATCTTCCTCTAAGCGTTTTTGAATTTTCCTTATATACTCATCTGAATAAATATTTAACAGCTCGGTTGTTGTTTGTGCTGTAGTTTCTAGAGCAGTTTCTTGCAGCTTCTGTGTTTCTAATGATTCTTGTATATCGCTAATTAAAAAGATTAAAAAGAAAAAGATCAGTCTTGATAGAAATTATGGCTCTTAGAGGTGTTTTCATACAGATCCCTGTATAGTTATGTGCAAGTCTGACAAATGCACAACAGCACTCTGTGAACACTGTGGCTACATCTTGATGTGTTTGTGCCCCACAATGACCACTAAGTCCAGAGGAGGGTTCAGCACTGACTTGAGCCAACTGACAATTAGTTTATTTACTAATGAGAAGTCAAATTCTGCAGAAACAGGAAAGTAGAATGGCTCAGAATATCAAAGAAAGATGAGTTACGCTTTAATATATCCATACATTTGGAGTGCAGTTTTGCAGAGTTATTAATGACAGGTTGTTTATAACCAGAAGTATCCACAGCAGTGTGCATGAGTGCCACCTCTTCTGAGTATGGTATAAATATCACTAAAGGTGACAGAATGATTATTACTGAAAATTATTCACAAATAAATCAACATACAGGTAAGTCTAGGGAGAAATGCTACTTCTGTTTTCTTTGAAATTTGTTACCATGCATGTATATCCACAACAATTCTCATCTCTCTTGCAAGTCCAACTGACCTTACACACTCAATGACTGAAATGAACAGAGATGCAGTTTGTGTCCTTTGTTGCAGCATATATGGTAAAATGGAGAGAAAGAAGCTTGAGTCATCCCTACTACAACTAAAGGTAAGGTAAAAACACTGTAACAGTGCTGGAGCTGCAATATTCACAGTGCTCGTGGGACAATCACTCAAAGGACAGTCACAGCTTAAACTAAACAAGCCATTACATTTTCCTCAAGTAGCTGTCTACATAGATAGTAGGCACCTGAGGTTGGATTCTGTCTAATCTCAACAATCCAATATCCAAATATTACCTGCCAGTGACTTGTCTGTGTACTGCAGAGGCATTTCCCGCCATAGACTTCTCAAACTTTTTAATCTCCTTGTATGTGTTCTGAAGAAATAACACAAATTTTAATGTCTCTCTTCTCTTCACAAAGCATCATAAGAAAGGTTCAACAGACTAAGTATTAGGGCAATATTTTTATGTCATGTTAGTACAACAGAAATATTTACGCTGAGAATATTTTAAGTCAGCTAGATCGAGAAAAAAAGGCAAGACTATTTCCTCCTTCTACCTTTCATCTCCTTTCCCCTCCCCTCTTCTTTTTTTCCTATGTCTACCAGCCAGAAAATCGTAAGATTTTGCAGCTGTTAATTCTGCAGAATAATTCTGATCTTACGTAGGACTCCAGCAGATTATATAATTCCCACCATTTAGGGATCTGAAATCAGATATTCTGGGCTATGATCTGCTTTAGATTTAGTAGCTTGAATTTATCCCTGATAGCTACTTAAGCAGCTACGTTCCTACACTCTAGATTTAAATGCATATCACAATTCCACAGTTGTAAAAAATGGTAATAATTGCATGCCTGATGACAATACAATCCATGAACTGTATAATTACAATTGAAGTACTCTTCAGCACTACATAATACTGAGTTATTTCTTTTATTGCTGTATTGCCATCATCTCTTGGTTTGATTTAAGTCTATTGTCAATTTTAGTTGTTACTAACATTTTTGATAGAGCAGACAGTTTTATAGTGTGTTACAGAAGAGTTCATAAATTATGGTGTAAAACTTCATGCACAAATGAGAAGGAAACATCAATACTTTTATTTCACATATTCTACTCAGTAGACCAGAAGCTAAAATGCTGTCGGCAATTAAATTAGTACCTAACTATAGTATTTATTCAGTGAGAATTTTCTTACATAAAAGCAAATTTTTACTAATTAACAAATGCAGAATCATAATCATAATAATACATAGCCTAATTTTCACTGGTTGCGTCTACTATATCATTTTAGCAGTTATATCAGTAGCTTTTGGATGGTGTAAGTACAGTATTTGTAAGTGTAACTGCTTCCAGGAATCGTTTTGCAAGTTCGTATAATTAACATTAAAAGAATAGAGATGATAGTTACCTCTGCTTCTCTTCTCTTCTTTAATAATTTTTTGGCTTCGATACCTTTTATGGTGTGGCTTGGTGGTAGTTTTGGAATCTGTATAACAGCTGCTTGAATCCTGGCCATTATTTCTTTTTGTCTCCTTCTTCCTGTGCAATGCTGAATATTCAACATCTTGTGTTCAGACACTTGAGTCGAAACAAAATACACCATATGGCCCTAATACACTACCTATATATCTATAAAGGAAATGTAATTATGCCATAAGAAAAAAAGTTTTCCAGGAAGAAGGTAGAAGAGCTTATCAGACTCCAGGCTTGAACAAATTACTTTTCTTTCTTTCTTTCTTTTCCTTCCTTCCTTTCTTTTCCTTCCTTCCTTCCTTCCTTTCTTTTCCTTCCTTCCTTCCTTCCTTCCTTCCTTCCTTCCTTCCTTCCTTCCTTCCTTCCTTCCTTCCTTCCTTCCTTCCTTCCTTCCTTCCTTCCTTCCTTCCTTCCTTCCTTTCTTTTCCTTCCTTCCTTCCTTCCTTCCTTCCTTCCTTCCTTTTCCTTCCTTCCTTCCTTCCTTCCTTCCTTTTCCTTCCTTCCTTTCTTCCTTCCTTCCTTCCTTCCTTCCTTCCTTCCTTCCTTCCTTCCTTCCTTCCTTCCTTCCTTCCTTCCTTCCTTCCTTCCTTCCTTCCTTCCTTCCTTCCTTCCTTCCTTCCTTCCTTCCTTCCTTCCTTCCTTCCTTCCTTCCTTCCTTCCTTCCTTCCTTCCTTCCTTCCTTCCTTCCTTCCTTCCTTCCTTCCTTCCTTCCTTCCTTCCTTCCTTCCTTCCTTCCTTCCTTTCCTTCCTTTCCTTCCTTTCCTTCCTTTCCTTCTTTCTTTTTTTTTTGTTTTTATCTTTTATCCACAATTAATCCTTGTCTTAAGAATATTCTCAGGCACTGTACTCATAAACCACCATCTTTATATCAAGATATCATAAAATGCATTTTAAATTAGAGCATCATTTTACATTCTGAATAGTTTGACAGCTTAGCAATATACTAGCATATGTTCTCAATATTTGAGGATGACTATGTTTTTTAACTACCATTATCAGAAAATGGTACATCTATTTATGCTATATCTGCATTAACAAATAGTGTGGCGCAATGTAAAAAAAAAAAAAAATAAAACAAAACAACAGTTTGTGCTCAGTGCCTAAGAGGCATTTCAGGTCTTGTATTAAATTCTAGCTCTAGCATGGAACGTGTTTCAGGTCATAATTCAGTGCAGAAACTGAGAATACCAGTTTCCTGGTACAGAAACTGAGAATACCATTATGCAACATTACTGCTGAACAATAAGTCTCAGATGATCAAGAAGTAACAAACATTTAAATTATACTAGTTAGAAGTGAACTACAGATACATGCAGTTAAAGGTGGAATTGAGTGGAAAAATAGTTTTTTTACAAAGAGACAAAGATAGTTAAAAATTAAATACGTAGTATCTCAAATAAGATATTAATAATTTTTCTGTAAAAGTTTTATTTTTAATATTTTAGTTATTGCTTGTATTTTCTAAATATGTGAAGGGATATCTTTCTTCATTCTTGCTTATGCAATGGCAATAGAACACCTAATAGCCACAGTAAGACTCCCTCCCTTTACTTAGCTATACAAAATGGTTCTCAAATTAGCCAACTTCATTTTCATTGTGGTTTAACACCCTTTGGATAGGTGGCCAGTTCCTCTATATAGACTACAGGCTGTACTTTGGATGAGTGTTCCCATATGTTAAGAAATTAGTTCCTCATTTTTACTTTATCAGAACAGCTACACAGAGCCACAAGATGCTTTGAGGCCATACACACTATAGGTCCCCTTCCCCATGTCTTTTTCCTGCTTTCAAACAAAGCTTCATCTTTTCTTCACAACTGAAGAATGTCACAAACCTCTTTCACAAGGGCACCTTAAACACATACAGCTGTGAAATTTACACTTCAAGTCTGTAAATATTTTCCATACATGACAATATGCAAATACTCAATTCAATATTAAGTGATTTTAAAATATTGATTTTTAAGGGTCTTATAACAGTATATTTACTTTGTATCTACATATTAATGATTGCCATGTGTACTCATTTTTTTTGGTTTTGTATAAACATGTCTATGTAGCACAGAATTAACAAGCATTCACACTGGCTTTAACTAACTCATTGTGTACATGACGTTAAGAAAGAACTTCTCTGGAAGTCTATAAAAAGTAATTAGTCACCTTTTCAATATCTTGGGCTCTGTGTTCCTCTTGGAACTTCTGAACTTCCTGTTGTTCTGCAATATGTATACGAGCTATTTTATCTTCTATTTCCTTAGATTTTATTTCAAAATGCTCTGAAATCTGCTGTAGTTGCAAATCAATCTGACGTGGTGTTAGAGTTTTCAAACGCTAAAATTAAACATCAAGCAATGAAGAGTCAGAAACAGTAAGAAACGTATCTAAATATGATAATGTTGCAATAGTCATTTCAAACTGTGTTTTCCTATGTCAATGTACATAGAACAGCATCTAAACATAGTTTAATATTTTTCAGAAAAGCGGGACAAGCTCCATTGAAAAGAATATGAATATTGAATATGAACAATGCCAAAATTTGTTTAGTTTGGAGGAAAGGAGGCTGAGGGGTGACCTCACTACTCCCTACAGCTTTCTGAGGAGGGGTCATGGAGAGGGAGGTGCTGAGCTCTTCTCCCTGGTACCCAGTGACAGGACACATGGGGATGGCTCAAAGCAGCGCCAGGGGAGGCTCAGACTGGACATCAGGAAGCGTTTCTTTACCGAGAGGGTGGTCAAACACTGGCACAGGCTTCCTAGAGGTGGTTGGTGCCCCAGGCCTGTCAGTGTTTAAGAGGCATTGGGACAGTGCCCAAAATGGCGTGCTTTAACTTTTGGTCTGCCCTGAAGTGGTCAGGCAGTTGGACTAGATGATTGTTGTAGGTCCCTTCCAAGTGAAATATTGTATTGTATTGTATTGTATTGTATTGTATTGTATTGTATTGTATTGTATTCTATTCTATTCTATTCTATTCTATTCTATTCTATTCTATTCTAAAGTGGCCAGGCAGTTGGACTAGATCACCATTGTAGGTCCCTTCCAACTGGAACTACATTCTATTCTATTCAAACGGAAATACAGAAAATTCAACTTAAACATAAGGAAAAAAAAATACTGAAAGGGTAATAAACAATTTGCCCAGATAGGCTGTGAAGTCTCCATCTTTGGAGATATTCAAAACCCAACTGAACAAGGTCACTGAGCAACCTGCTCTAGCTGACTATGCTTAGAGAAGGGGAGGGGGCTGGATTAAAGTGGCCTCCAGAGGTCCCTTCCAACCTCAAAGATTGTCTTATTGAAATGCCACTCTAAATATATCCATTGACAGGAGCTACTCTCCATTGCTTTATATTTTTTATGCTATCCCTCTATAGGTGAAGGGATTTTTTGACTGTCTGGTACTTGTCGCACTTGTTGGTAAACTTACTGCTTGTAAACTGTTCTTGAGGAAGTGTGCCAGAAAAATATGTGAAATTTCACCCAGATGAATTTGATTCATGATATATAGCTTCTTAAAGATTGCTCATCCTGCTAACAAATTACAGTCTGCACATCCTGAACATTATTGTTGATGACAAGAAGAATGTCCTTAACAGAATCTACTACATGAATACTGACTTCCTCTTAAATACTCTTCTTTCTGCTTTGTTTTTTTCCTCTTTGTATTACTGAGCACATGGTTATTGCAGGCTAGAGTGTAGTATAAATATGTGGAGAGACCTGCAACAAAACGAACCAAACCACTGTAGCACGAAGATCACCACAGTTATAAACAGGCTTCCTGGAGGGGAAATTAGTCTAAATTGATACCTTAGTCCACAATGAAGTCTGCAATCTGTACTGATCATGAGTAAGATGGCAGCTGCTGAACAACTACTAGCCATTGTTGCTATATGTATTTTAAGTCTGGAGAAAGCTTAAAAACAGAGCAGGTAACACAGAATCATACAAAATAAAGGAACACATAACAAATATGATCAATATCCTCATGAGTCACAGAAAAACCACGTAATCCCACTGTCTACATACAAGACATAGCAAAGGACTGCTTCTTTTCCATGTTAAGTATTGGGTTTTGAGTGGGAGATCTAAAAAGCGGGGAGCGGAAGCATGAAACATGGTTGAGAAGCACGTGTAAATATGCTACCTTTTTTCCTATATATTTATACAAAATAGGCATAGTTAGTTACCTCTCGATACAAAGCGCTCTCAATAGACTTAAGTTTTGCAGTTGCTGCAGGTCTCATTGCTTCCATGGCTACTCCAGTGAGCTTTGCCTTTTTCTTTTTTTCTAAAGCAATATACAATTCATATAAAAGCTTTGTTGCAGCCCCATGCTGTCCTGCCATGATGTCTTGGGCCACATTCTCATTAAATTGTACACCAAGGAGGTGAAGTGTGGGCTCAAGGCGAAAAAAATTGTTAAGTTTTGCATTTGCAGCCCTATATGATTAAAAACAACAAGAAAACAACAATCAGAACACAAACTTGCTTTCAATTCCAACTTGCTGCAATAAGCATGGTAGTGACATTTATCTCATACGAAGACAGGAGCGGAAAAAAAACACTGATGACTTCCTTAAAGTAATGTGATATACACTTTGGCAGTACTGCAGTACATGTAACTGCATTGGTCTATTAGGCATAGCTTTTAGAAAAAAAGAGAACACATCATAAATCTTGAGACATGCACACACAAAGCACATCTGACAGCAAAAGCTCACCCTCAATTGCAGCTAATTGTATACCATCCACAAAAAGTACAGAGTTAGAATGACATTTCTGTATTAACTATACCAATACACTTGAGCTCTAACCAGCCAAAAAATAGGAAATTATTTTGAAAGTCTATATAATGTATTTACCCTCACAACACTTCGTCATATGTCTTCTCCAATAAAAAGAAATTGTCATATGGGTTGGAGTAATGTTAAAAACAAAGACTATTGTCTCAGCGAGCAATTTACGTTCAAAACTGAAATAGTTGATTGCAGATTAATGTTCCTTTTGATATGTAGATTCTTCTCTGTTAGTACTCAAGATCAATAGATATACAGGCCAAAACCCAATAAGAATAAATTATCACTGCATCACAATTCAAACATCAAATTTCATCCAACAAATCTGTATATTCAACTGGAGTCAGAATATCATGCTTTCTATACTGCTCTATCACTTGAGTTCAAAATAGCTCATCCACATGAACCAACAAGCTTTCAAGGTCAGAAGGGCTACAGTATAATTCTACAAAAATGTCCAGTTTTAACATAAGACCTTCTGGTAAAACAGTATTCAACTTACTCCTAGATGAAAGAGTCCAGGAGCTCATTATTCTCACTCCAATAGTCTATGACTTATTTCTTAAACAATTATATATAACTGCAGCTTACAACTATTGAACATTTTCCTATCATTGAGTCAAGGTTAAGGTAAGCCCTGTTGTCATAAATCTCTTCACATGCATTAGAAAGCTGTAGTGATATCACCTCTTAACTTTTTGTTCTGTAATCAGACCAGATGAAACTTCTTAATCTTGCCTCATAATATAAAACTTTCATAAATCTTATTTCAAGATCATTGTAAGAGTTAAGGGAAAACTACAATATTTTATTTTTCAAATATGGACAGCCAAACTTGAAAATGTTTTCCAGTAGTATTTGTTTTAAAAGAGTAGTATCACTTTCTCAGTTATTATTCCCTTGCTTATATATCAAAAAACTGTGCAACATAAGTAGCTAATACGGGTAAGTAGACTTCTATTTAGTCAAAATGACCCTACATTCTTTTCTGTTAGTGCCTTCTAGATTACAGTTGCCTACACTAAAAAAGGAATCTATATTTCTCCCACGACCACCCCAACAGATATGATCTTGCCTTGAGCTATGCTAGACCATACTGAAGTGACACCAGCTTACCAAATGATCCGTGAATAATAATGCTTTTCTTTAACAGCAAACTCTAAACTTTAAAAGTATTACTTTACAGACATTAAGTAAGATTAGGCAGGCAGACATTCTTGCAGGATTCCAGGGCAATACAACCACTATTACACAGTAATATTTGATATAATATGCAGAAGAAATATCTTGGAATTAAGAAAAAAATGCCTCAATTCTCAATATTCTCAAAAGATCAATGTCAGTAATTATTAGAAAAAAAAATAACAAAGAAAGATGAAAACATCAAATTATCTTTACAAACTCAAGGAGTACTGTAGTAAAGAACATCACATACAGTCCTCTTCCCTCTCATACACCAGATACTCCCAGAACTTAGGAACTGTCAGGGCTTTTCTCTGGGCCTGGTCCAATATATCCATGTCTGTCTTGCACTGGGGAGTCCCAGAGTGGACACTGCACTGCAGATGTGGTCTCACCAGTGCCATATCTTTTGAATGTGATCCGTGACGCTGTTGTCCTTTGCTGCAAGGGCACGTTGCTGGCTCATGGTCAGCTTGTTCTCCTCCAGGGCCTTCTCTGCAGAGCTGCTTTCAAGACAGTTGGCCCTCAGCTGGTACTGGAGGCACGGGATTTTCCTCACCAGAAGCATTTCCCATTGCTGAACTTCATGAGATTCCTGCCAGCCCTTTTCTCCTGCCCATCAAGGTTCCACTGAAGGGCAGCACAACCACCTGGTGCATCAACCACTCCTTCCAGTTTTATATCATCTGCAAACTTGTTGAGGGTATGCTTTGTCTCGTCATGCAGGTCACTAATGACGATGTTAAACAGTATTGGTCTCGGAATCAGTGCTTGGGCTACATCGCTGATCACTGGCCATCAGCTGCACTTCACGCTGCTGATCACAGCCCCTTGAGCCTGGCAGTTCAGCCAGTTTTCAGTCCGCCTCACTGCCTACTTATCTAGTCCGTACTTCATCACTTTGTCTGTGAGAGCGTTAAGGAAGACGGTGGCAAAAGACAATGTAAACAGCATATGCTGATCTTCTCTCAACCACTGAGCCCGCCACCTCATTCTAGAAGGTTGTCAGGTTAGTCGGGCATGAATTCCCCTTTGTAAATCCATGCTGACAACTCCAAATCACCTTCTTGTCCTTAATGGACTTGGAAATGTTTTCCATGCTTATTTGCTCCATCAGTCCCTTGGGACTGAGGTGAGGCTGCCTAGCTTGTACATCTCCAATTCCCCCTTCTTGCCTTCCTTGAAGACAGGAGTGGCAGTTGCATTCTTCTAGTCCTGGGAACCTTTCCCAATCACCAGAACTTTTCAAAGACTATTGAGAGTGGCCTAGGAATGGCATTGGCCAGGTCCCTTGGTGTTTGTGGGTATATGCCATCAGGTCCCATGGACTTGTGTATTTCCAGTTTATGTTATGTTTTGTGTAAGCCGATCCTCTTCCAGAATGGGTAAATCTTTCTTGATGCAGACTTTTCTGATAGTCACAGGGGCTTGGCATTTCTCAGTGCAAATTTTACCAATAGAGTAGACCAAGACATAGGGTGCATTAAGTACCTCAGTCTTTTGCATTGCAGACTGAGTAGTATTTGAGACTCAGAGAGATTGATCAATGGAGCTGTACTCTACCATCTATGATGCACAGAAGCCAGAACTCAGTGTGGCCATTACAGAGGCAGGTACTGCATCTATTTTGTGTGAGGAGGAAGGCAGCGTCACAAGGCATAAGGAGGGGTGGAATAATGTTACAGCATGGAGTTGTAAGGGAAACTCCTCCTTATCCTCTCAGATACCCTTACAGAATATGTACGAGGCTTTGGGTACAGTGGACAAAGCACGTGATGAGGTAGAGGAGGAATCTGCACAAGCAGTCTAGCCAAGGCCAGAGAGACCAATCCATCAGAATAAAACCTGATTAAGACCAGCACCAAGAAGAAACAACAGAGAGTTACAGTAATCAGTGATTTCCTCCACTGTAGAAAAGAAGCACCTGTCTGCAGACCAGATCCTCTTTTCAGGGAAGCTTGCTGCCTCCCTGGGGGCTGAATTAGAGATATCGCCACAAGACTAAAGAGCTTAGTACAAACTTCAGACTACTACCCACTCCCGCTCTTCCACATGGGTACAAATGATGTCACAACAAAGTGTCTGAGGTCGATAAAAATTGATTTTAGAGCACTGGAAAGCATGCTAAAAAATGTGGGAGCTTGCACAGTGTTTTCCTCAATGTAAGCACTGATTTTTTTTTTTTTTTTACTGGGTCCTATGCCTGGTCAGCAGTAGGCTCATATATTCTCTAGCCTTCCTTTTGCTGTGACATACCAGTAAAAGCCCTTCTGGTTGCCTTCCATGTCCCTCACCAGTTTTGACTCCTAATGGGCGTTGGCTTTCCTAAAGCTATCGATATATACTCATAGACAGTGTCTGTGCAACTCTTGGATCACCTGATCCTAGTTCCACATCTTGTATTCTTCCTTTCTACGTTTCAGTTTTGTCAGTAGCATCTTATTCTTCCATTCATGCCTCCCGCTGCCTTTGTTCAGTTTTAGTCACATTGAAATGAAGGAGATGAACCTTGGAAGAAAAAAAGATCATTAAAAAAAAAAAAACAAACCTGCTGCCTTGGACCCATCTTCTCTCCAGGAACATTTTACATAGTCTTCTTCCAAGCAGATCTCTAAACAAGCCAAAGTCTGCTTTCCTAAAGTCTAGGGTTGTGATGCCACTATTTAACTTGTTCACTCTTCTCAAAACCATGAACTCCACCATCTCATGGTCACTTCAGTCCATGCTGCACCTAACCTCCTCTGTGTGTACATACAAGGTTTAGCAGAATATCTCCCCTCTTCAGCTCCTCAATCACATTTCTCAGGAAGCTATCATCAGTGCACTCCAGTAGCCTCCTGGATTGCTTCTGCCTGGTGGTATTTCTCTTCCAGTGGATACCAACTTGGTTAAGGTTTCTTATTCATACTGAGGTTTGTGAAAATGAGAATTCTTCCAACTGTCTCAATAAAACCCTATATACTTCTTCCTGCTCAAGTGATCTGTGGCAGTCATCACAGCATCACCCAGTTTGGTCTTTCCTCTAATCCTAACCCGTAAGACATTAACTGGTCATCATCCATCCCAAGGCAGAGCTCCATGCATTTTCTCTGCTCTTGCATAAAGGACAACTCCTCCTCCTCACCTTCCTAGCTCATCCATCCTAAAGAGCCTATATCCAGCCATGGCAGCACTCCAGTTGTATGAGCTGTCCCACTACCTCTCTGCAATTCCAACGACACTGTAGCCCTGCAAATGCACATAGGCCTCCAATTCCTCCGGTTCCCCAAGATGCATGCATTAATATACAGAGAGGCAGCCAGTTGTGTTGATTTAGCAGGAAAGGTGTGAATGCTTCTCCCATAATGCTGTCTTCTCGGCACTTCCTTAATTGCATACATACATTTGGGGTGGGCAGCCTTCTGCACTGTTTTTCCCCTCTTATTCACATCACCCTCCTCTTGCTTGCCAACCTAGGCCATCACTTCTTCACTTCTTTGACAGTAATCATCTCCTTCTGCCTTCATTCCTAGTTTAAATGTATCTTCACCCAGTTTGCCAGCCTCTTGGCAAAGTTGCTGTTGCCCAATTTGGTCAGGTGGGTCCCATCCATTCCCAGCAGTTTTCCACCTTCAGAGAGGATCCCACAACTGCAAAAAAAACAAATCCCTACTGTTGACAGCAGGTGCACAATCACTTGTTCACCAGTAGAATCTATCCACTCCTCATCAAGCCCTTCCATCTCACTGGCAGAATTGAGGAAAAAGTCACATGGGCCCCCATGCCTTTGACTTTTGCCTCCAGAGTCATTCTTCATATGCTCCAGGTCTCTCTGGCAGTATCATTGGTGCCCACATAGAAAAGGAGCAGGGATAACACTGCAAGGGCTGGACTAGCCTTCACAGTCCTTGACCCAACCCCCATCAAGCAGGAAACCTCCCTGCCTAGCATATGAGGTCAGCAGATGGGCACCTCCATCTCCTTCAGGAGAAAGTCTCCCACTATTATCACTCACCTCTACTCCTGGTGCTCCTGTGTGGTTCAGATTTCTCCAGTTCAGATGTTTTATTGCACAGAGCCACCAGTCTCTGACCTGCTACTAAGGCAATGAACCTGTTCTGCAGCTGTGGATCAGCAGGTGGAGCAAGAACCTTCCTTCTCTTGCCAGAAGTCACCAGCTGCCAGTCATCTTTTCACAACCCAACAAGCACAGACTCTGCCTGTGTCTCCCTCAGCACAGCTGCCGGTTCAGATTCCTGTATCTGCAGTATCTCACAGAAGATTCAATCTCCTTTTCATCATGCGTGATGCTGAACAGTCTACTGAGGTCCTTCTGCAGCAGCTTGACTTGGTGACACAGATGTTCCCTGAGCACACACCTCTGCAGGCAAAACTATCACCTCTGCCTGCCCAAGGGTAAGCAAAGACTCTGGGCATTCCCTACAGCCTGAGACATAGAGAACTGCCTCCTTTCTCTGAGGAGCAATCTGAGTTGAGGCCTCTGACATCCTGAGTAGTTGCTGCAGTAGGTACTGGGTATCACACCCTGTCATGCATCAACACCTTTGCTGAGCACGCATACACTGTCTCAGCAGAGTTTATAACCTCTTCTTGCACCTACTGACATGCATCTTCACTAATTGCATCTCTTTAATCAGAATTCAACTGGAAATAAGAGTTCAAAGCACCCTTTTATCAGGAAGAGTTGACAGAACTTGTTAGAAGCTGCTAGAGCTTGCTAGAAGTAAAAGCCTCCCGAGGTTATCCTTTCCCAGCAGCAGCAGGCACTCTAAAGTTCCTCGAGGTTACCAGTTCTGTAATGATCCTAGAAATTCCTGAGATCTCTAAGTCCTAGAAGCAGAGACCAAGAACTGCTGTGCAAAACTGCTGTGTCTGTTGGCTGCCTTTGTTAGCTGTGCTCAAGCTGCTCTCCTACAAGTTGGTAGGACTTGTATATGAAAGAGTATAAATAAAATAGAAGTGCAAAGAACATAAAAAAGAGGTTCAGGAGAAACGGGAAGAGGATGTATAGCCTGGCACACTTGATATACATGTGCACCAAAGTCTGCCAAAACAACGCTGAAGCCAAAGAACACCATGAACTGCATCACGAACATATCAAGGCTCAGCTCACAGATCTGCACAAGATTTTTTAACCTCATGTTTTTCTGTTCTTCTTCATCGTGGATACTATACCAGCTTATTTGTAAACTTAGAAATTCTTATAGGATCATCTGCCAAGGCTTCACTCAGATCCTCAAAACGCATCTCCACCACTTACATTCTAGAGAAGATGTAATGGTCAACACCACACCACACCTCTGGATTCCTAGCTCTACACAGCTCATGGGGTCAGTGTCAGTATTTCCAACCTTAGAGACATCCTTGAAGAGTTTGTTGAATTTCTGGCCTAACCTGCTGCTATTTTAGTTACAGTCAAAATGCATAATTTTCTTGAAGTAGTATGATCAATCTCTATGGAAGTACAAAGCTAATCTGTGCGTCAAATACAAATAGATTTTGACTTACTGATATATGTATCAAATCTTGGTTAAGTTCTACATGTCCTTCTCACTTTGCATTAGGAAATCCTAACTGAAAAATAAATATCTTGTCTAATTTATGTACGAGGCATGTTATCTATATATACTGACCTGCTCTGTGAAAATTGATTAAAGTCATCCTGAAGACCGTATTTGTGTAAAAGTTCTCCTAGGAGGTAGCCAGTCGAAAATTCTTCTGAAAACGATCCTGGAACTAAGTTTGTTTTGTTGTTGTTTTTTAAAGAAATGAAGATAATTAAAGGAATTCATATATTAATCTTAATACAATTCATTACTGTTTTTATAACAAAGCCCAAACTTTATTAAATAATTCAGAGAAATTTTAGGATATTGATCTAGCAGTAGCTAGTTTTCAAGTTACAAAGAAATCTACTTTCAGTGTAGTTATTTTGCAACATAAGTTTTAGGTAGTCATTTAATTCTTATTATCAGTGTTAACAAGTAAACATTGTCATAACTGTCATTAAGATCGTGGCAATATCTATATATGATGATTACTAATTTTTCCATTAAAAAATGCAAACAAAAACAAAGGTTGATCTAATGTGTTTTTCTTCCACAGAAAGTTGCTCCCTCCTTGCAGAACAAATGCTTCTCCAAAGCCAGCACAACACCTCCCATTCAAAACAAAGCACTGTTCTGCAAGCATATTAAAATATTTTTATCCTCTGGAGTCCTTATTAGCTGATGAAGCTTGAGCTCCTCATATCTCGTGAGAGCACGTATCTCCTGACACTTGCCTTGTATGCTAGGCATGTATCTCCTGAGAGCTCCTCACGCCTTCAGGAAAATTAACTTCCCCTCGAAAATCACTGTCTTGCACATGAAGACGGAAAACGTACCTGAGGAGGTATCTGGACTCGAGGAAGCGGGCGGGTTGGTCGTCAGGTCAGCGGGAGTCGGCTGGCGGGGGCCCCCCCAAATCCCCCGGCGGCAGGAAGGCCTAACCCTGCGGCACCCCCCCGAGCTGACCGGCCAGCCTGCTGCCCCCACGAGCCCCTGCCCACTCCCAACGCAGCGGGACCCCCGCTCACCCACGCTCCGGGATAGCTTCACCTCCGCGTTCAGCCACTCGCACAAAATCTCCGACATGACCGGCGTCAGCCCTCCCGCCCGCCAGACGCTGCGTCCTGTTGCCACGGCGACGGGGCATGCGCGGCTGGGGGATGGGGTGGGGCAGTCGTCCCCTCCCGATGCCACGGCCTAGCCCCCCACCCCCACCGCGGGCACGCGCGCGGCACCGCGGGGGCTGCGCATGCGCCCGAGGGAGGGGCGGGGCCGAGGGTGTGGCCGGGGCGGGGAGACGAGGAGGAAGGTGAGCGCGCTGCGAGGTGGTGCGCGTGCCCGCCTCCGCGGCCGCCGGCGGAGGGACGCGCGGCCGGCCGTTGGGCGGCCCAACCGCCCCCTTCAGCCCCCCCACACCCCCCCACACCCCCCCCACACCCCCTGGCTCCGGCGGGGTCGTTAGGCGTTGAGCGGGCGGGCGGGCGCGGGGCTGCCCGCCGGCTGAGGCTGAGGAGGAGGAGGAGGGCGGTGGCTGAGCCTGAGGGATCTCATGGCTGGGGAGGGGCAAGAGGATCCTTCTAGTCGCCGGTGGTCGGTTCTCCGCGAGGTGCGTCAGTGTCGGCCGGCTGTGCGGGGGCTGCCCCCGCAGCCGCGCTGCCCGCCCCCGCCGCCTCCTGGCTGCGGGGCCGCGCGTCTAGCTGTTTGTTTCATACGTGTTTCAGTCCCGATTTCCCCATTCCGTCCCGGCGGTACGCGGCGCGTTGCTGAACTTGCGCTTGTGCAGAGGGAGTAGAGCGGAGGACTCTTAGGCTGAAAAACAACCAGGCAGGAAAAAGGAAAATGAGAAGAAAATTAATCCAGGCTAGTTTCCCCAGAAGGGTTCACATAACGGCACAAATTACTGTGTTGGCCCTGTATGAAAGGGAGAGGGAGAACAAAAACTGCTGAAAAAAGTTCTGCCAGTTTCGGTGTGTGCTACACATTTGCAAGGATATTTTTCAACAGTAGTGTTTGTGTAAGCAGTCTCGGAAGCATTTGTGTGCCAATACAGCTGCTCTTGTGGCCCTGCATGGGGGTTTGCATAAGCCTCACCGACAGGTTTTCTGCTCTGCTTTTGTTTGTATTCGGTCGTCTTTGTTTTAGAATCACACTGAACTAATCCTGCATACTTTTGGTGCCCCCATTTTGAAAAGTGTGTTACAAAAATGCAGACTATAAAGAGAACTACATCTGGAAAATACAGTGTATACCATGGGAATTTAAATTGGCCAGTTTCTTTCTGGGAAAGATCGATGGTTGATTAAATTTTCAAGGACCTTTCAGTGCATTAAGGAATCCTAAAGGATTTTTTAATCTAGAAAATACAGGAACAAGAGGATCTAGTGGTTAATGACAGGCAGACAACAAACCATAATTTTCAAAAGTTATAGTGACTAACAGTTTACATAAGCAACTTGGAATATTATGGATTTTGTTCTTCTAGAAGGCTTCAGATTAAATCTCTGTGCTTTTACAGAGGATGTGCTTTAAATCAAAATAAATCACTGAGTTTTGTAAGAGTAAATTTGTAACTGGCCAGTCATTTATATCTTGAGAAGGTCATTGTAGACTTAATGGCACATGAATGATTCAAGTAAAAGGTAGCTTCAAGAGAGGGGAGGTACTTTCAGGGCAGATGTTTAAATTAATACTTATATCCTTTTAAAGATAGAGTTTTGTATATATGTTAAGTTTTAAAAATACCAACACTTTAGGGTCAAAAGACCTTGATTTTTTTTTTTTTAATTTATTACAATGTTTACAGTGGGTGTATATACCACCAGGGTATATTTCTGGTATGTCAGATTGCAAAGAACAAATCTATTTTAGCTTCATCATGGAATTTTTTCCTCAGCTCCAGAAATTAATGTATATGTATTTATGTTTGTATATAGTTAAATGTTGCTGCAGGTAGTGGTTGACAGAAGTTTATGTTGATTTCAAAAATGCAAACCACAAATGATTTATATCAAGATTAGTACTTCTTTCCATATCACCTCTGAAAAGCTGGTATTTCTGTGTCTTTAGAATTTTTTATGGAATGTATTTTTTCAATTTCATTATCATATCCAAGGGATTTCTAAACAGCTAATTTTATTTAAAAATAACATTGGTTGTTCATTCTGCTGAGATGGACATAATAAAATCTTACTCAGATAAACTAGAATTTTGAGAAAGATGTGGAATTCCTCTCATATTTAAATTCATTGGTGGTTTGCTGTTTCATATAAGTCTGTCTTAGCTCTTAACAAATTAATGTAACTTTCTTACAGAATTCTCAGTAGTGATGGAATAATGTAGTAATCAATTTTTACTTAATTTTTTCCCTGAATTTAAGAACTTGGAAAGATGTTTGTGTTCTGACACAGACACAGACACTTGCAGGCAACAAGTAAGGTAATTTATTATGTGTTCTGTTAATTTATTACTTCTTTGCTAGGAATGCCAGTGGCAATGTCCTGGAAATCCCAAACTGATTTTTCACAGGACACTATGCTTTGGATAATGCAGCTTTTAGTCACTAATACTGGGCCTTGGAATGTATCTGAATTTTTCACTTAAAACTCTGTATTTATTTTAAACTTAAGGCATCTTCCTGTGGATTTGCTTTGAAAGACGAGAGAATTGTCTATAGGTATTTGTTTGTATATATTGTATTTATAATGATGAAAGGAATAGAAGACATTAAACAGCAGTATATTGAGCACAGAACTTGAAGTGCCAGGGATTATCTGTTACATTTCATTCGTTTTGCTGTCCTGAAAGAAACTGTATGCATGAAGAACCAAAAAAAAAAAAAAGAGTTTATGACAAACAAGCCTACAGCTTTTATGGATGTTAGTTTTGAATAAAATGGATATAATAGTTGTATGCATAAAGAAGAAAAGGACAAAATCTAGTTAATAAGCTTCTATCACAAAAGGACCATCAAAATACTTCTAAATGTTCAAGATACTAAATTGAAAGGGGCGTTAAGTAGGAGGAACAATTTCATCTTAATACAATCAATATTAAGAAAAGTCAAATGGAGAAGTACTGGAATGCAGTTAAATTGCATTTAGATTGAAGCCATGCAGACAGTAGTAGCACTAAACTGATACAGAGTAATAAAAGAATTTGTGAGTTCAGGAGTTTCATTTTTTTGCCCCAGAATTTGTTCCATCACTAAGATTGTTCATAAATATCCTTAAGTATGATTTTTTTGTAATTTTATGTTCTTTATTGTTTGCTTGCCTTGTCTCTTTCCTGAGAAGTTACAAAGAGGCTAAAGAACCACCACTTCTCACAGGGCTTCTTTTCCGCTTTTCTGTCTCTAGTTTGAACATTTTGCTTGCAGTCATTCTTTTATGGACAGGATGGTTTTATGCTTGGTGTGGGTGAATTGAAGTTCTCTTCAGGCAGTTGTTTAAAAAAAAAAAAAGAAAAAAAGGGCAACTAAATAGTAAGTTAAGTACAAATGGTTCACTTTTGTGCACATCTGACTTCAGTTTCTGGCAGTGTTTCTGCAGGATACCAATCAAGTCAATAAAACCAGACTTTTCCAGACAGTTACAAAATGTGAGGTTATCATTTTATGGATGCGTTACTTTGTATACAATGGCCTGATACATTCTGAATAGCATTTGGAATACTCACAAGGCCTTATCAGTTAATATTTTATCTTTATTCTTCAATAAATGCTCATTAACTGTGCACCATTTATCTTATATTCTTTCACTGTAGTTTTTGTCTGGCGCTATTAAAGAATGTATGTAATGTAACTGGAATCCTTTTGGTTGTTACTGAAGTGCAACTGCTTTTTCTATTAGAAATAGGACAGCTATTGTGCACTAACAATTCTTTTCAGTTATATTTTTAAGGTATAAAATGAAGAATATTGTGTCTGTTCTGGAGTGGAAAGGGAATGCAAGTAAGCATAATGTAACTACATGATGGAATTTGGCTAGCATCCTTGCAGCTAATGCCAGTGCTTAAAAAGCCTTGGATACTTGTTCTCATTATGTTGAATGAGAATATTGGTCAAGCGTACTGTACATTGGAAATGTTTTTGGTAGAACATAAGGCTTCCACAATTGTTCTTTAATGCACAGTTGTTAGCTAATTTGGGTAAATCTGATGATGTAAACAGTTTTAAAATACTGAAGTTACGTTGATGTAGCTAGACAAAGGAGAGACCATGGGATAACATGCCCAGTTGCTCATTTTAACAATAAATTAATGATAAATCATGGTATACTAATGCTAGTACACAGAATTTTATAAGAAGATACATGTAGGCTTTCTTTTCTGCAATAATGATTTGTCTTTAAAGTTGAGTATTTCTCTCATGCCAGAATAAATTTGTTCTTAGGCTGATTCCAATAGCTGTCTTCTTCTTGGACGTAAGAGTTGTTGATAATGATAGGGATAGTGTTCTGCTTGTGCTTAATGGCTACTGAAATACAGTTCTGTTTAACAATGTCTTATTCATAAACAGTTTCTTTTTTGACTGTACGCAATCTGATGAGAAGATTTAAATGGGAATAAAGTCTGCCTTAAGTGAAATTCTGTAAAAAAAGTTTAATATAGAATAACTGAGCACAGGCACTAGTGAAAGATGCAAAAAAAGACATCCAACTATTCATGCTTTAAGTTGTGGCACAAATAAGAATTTTAAAGAAATTACGGAAATTGTAACTATTTTAACTTGTGTGGAGCAATGACTGCCTTACTATTACTGATGGACCACTTCAGATCATATAACAATGTAGAATGCTCTATGTTCAAACCCCTAGTAAGACTAAAACTGGGTCTGATTTTCTCCAGCTGTCCTACCACTTATTCCCATTTCTGGCTCTTTTTACTCCATTGGTTCTTATTCTCTCTTGTGATCAAAATTATTCTTACTTATATATTTCCATTTATTTCCTTCTTTGTATTCCTTAGGTCTTCATGTTTGATGATATTTCCTTCTCGTTTTCATTTATTGCCCTAATCCTTCTTCCCTACCAAGGCCCATATGCATATTTTGCTTTCAAAGTAGTTTTTACACATTCTGAATTATGTGTTATGTCAAATTTTTACTGTAACAACTGATCATTTTCTTTTCTCCTTATACTCCAGAGTGATGGTAGAAACTGATAGAATTGCTTTTTAGGTTCAATGTCAAGAATTTGTCCCTTGTAGCCATTTGAGTCATGTGGAGAGTAGTAGGCCAAAACCCCCTTCAGCTGTTCCTTTTGTACAAGCGCTTTGTAAGTTGTTTGGCATATATGTTTGGCATATATGTTT